GTTTCTGGAAAACACAACTCAGGATTATTCTGAAAAGTTGGTGCCTTGAATAATTAGTTGTGTTCTATCGACCTGAAGTCTCAGCGCTGCCACCGTGAATCAGCCCGTATAGCGAAAGAAATTTCCAATTATGATCTGATTCTATTTAAGATTGGTATCTGGGAGTTTTCGGGGTCGAACTTAATGATTTTTCGTCAAAATTGAGAAATTCAAGATAACGGGTCCAATATGGCGAACTAATTTTGTAATTATGATCCGATTCTATTCAAAAATCAAAATTGGAGGAGATTATAATTAATTCGTCAAAATTGGGATTTTCATGATGGTGGACGAGTTTTGTAATGAAGATTCGATTCTATTCAAAATTGGTATCTGGGGGTTTTCGGGGTAGGAGATAATGATCGTTTCGTCAAAATTGGAAAATTCAAGATGGCGGATTCGATATGGCGAAAGACATTAGTTTATATGATTATTACTCTACCACAAATAGAAAATATGTAGGATGCAAGAGTGAAAATAACGTGACTACAAGTTATACTGCGTATACCTACATCTTTGTTACTTTTATCAATCAATTGTTCGAAAATGACTTTTAATTTGAGGGGGACGGAAAAATCATATGTATAACATGGGGGTAAAGTATATTCTATCCTTTATTTTCCTGCATATTTTACGTATTACTTTTGATCAGCCTACTTTTCGTCCTAGACAAAGTTTTATATATGATATACGTGATATTAGTCATTCCATAAATTCTTCACCGAGCTGGATTTCCAAAAATATATTGAGCACACATGAATAAGTACAGTAGTTTCGGTTTCCATCATTTCTCAATCATAAGGCTCAGCTCATCAAGCTGATAGATAAACTTCTGCTCAGCTTGAAATCAGAATTCATTCAGTCAATTCAGTCAACCCTAGTATACAGTCTAAGAACAGTCTCTCTTAGTGAAATATATTAAGCTTTCAGTACAATTTATATGTTCCCTACCTCGCAAAGATTATGCTGGAGTAGTAAACTCTAAATCTAGAGGACTGTTCATCTATATCTTGGTATAGTTGAATCGGGAATTCCATATGGAAATTACGTATGATACGCCAGTGACCTCAATATAACCTAAAAAACAACAAATGTCAAAAATCTAGTGTTTTTCCCTAGAATTGAATAAGGATGGAACTATTTAACTGTTTCACAAACACTTTAGAGTGAGAGGAGACGAGGATCTGTCCGTACCCTGTTAGGATGACTTTAACGTCAATTTCCATAAAGGGACCCTAATCTCTGGTTTTGAGTAACAAAATTAGTGACCATTCAGCATTCAGCGAACTTGGTTCGCATGAATTCAAAACGCCCCGAACCAGAGATTAGCCGTTCTGTGGGTGGCTAATCTCTGTCCCGAACTGTCGTATCTAGAGACAAGACGCAACAAATATACGGAACACGTTTTCTGGAAATTTCCTGAAAAAAAAAACATCAATGATCAACACATGTACAATACACATTTTTATACGGCTATAACACAAAATTACTCTTGTTTTACTGTGTTCAATAAATCAGTTAGGTATACTTTGTATGGGTGCCATTTTTATTTCCGTATCGGATATCTACGAAAGCACCCTGGTGTCAAGCACACATTATAACGGTAATGCAATAGGAAGATACAACATTGATTAACATATTCGTATAAGGTGATCTTGTAGTTATCATACCTACAGAGAGAACCCACAATCTACTATATTATTTGTTCCGACATAATATTCTTCCATCATTTATACATGAAAATGTTTATAGATCGATATGCCTGTTATCGGGGCGTTTTGAATACGTGCCAATTGGTAATCAAAATTGACATTGACACTATGTGAACACAAAATGATGTAGTTTTCAATAAAAATAATTACACAATATTGGTTTTGTATCTGAGGTTTTGTAAAATTTGGAGAAAATAGTATATTGTTAAACGAGCATGGAATGATCGTCAATTCCCACGAGAATGAAGCATGAGCCATAGGTGAATGCTGCAACCATTCGAGTGGGAAATTAGCATTCCGTGCGAGTTATAAACTATACTTTTTCTAAGGCTGTAACAGATAGCAGCAAAATTTTGTATTTCTTCGACTTGTAGGCATCGGATTTTTCTTTAAGTAATGCTCATCTATTAGACAGAGCTGTCAAAACTGTCAATGCTTGTAATCTGACTTTTCATGAAAGATGAGATTTTTTTGAAATAATAACACAATGGGGTCATTGTGATATCAGATATGGAAATGAAATTGATGACATACAAAGTACCTCACTGATTTGTCGAACACAGTAAAACAATAGCAACTTTGTGTTATAGCCGTAGAAAAATAGTATATTGTTCAACGAGCACGGAATGTTGGCGAATGCTGCAACCATTCGAGTGATAAATCAACATTCCGTGGCGAGTTATACACTATACTTTTTCTAAGGTTGTGACAGATAACAGCGAAATTTTGTATTTCTTCGGCTTGTAGCCATCTGATTTTTCCTTAAATAATGCTCATCTATTAGACAGAGCTGTCGCCTGTCAATGCTGTCATTGCTTGTTATTTGACATTTCATGGAAGATGAGATTGTTTTGAAATAATAACAATAACACAATACACAATAGAGTCATTGTGATATCAGATACGGAAATAAAATTGATGACATACAAAGTACCTTATTTATTTATCGAACACAGTAAAACAAGAGCAATTTTGTGTTACAGCTGTAGAAAAAATTTTTCACACGGCAGCAAAATGCAGTAAATTTTTCAGGGGAGAAAGAAAACAAAAACATAAATAAAATAAGTAGAGAACGGAATTCGAATACACGGATTAACCAGCAATTATACGAGGATTATTGTTAATCTTAGCAGCCCTCAACCACATAATTCGTCATATGGTTTTAATTTGTCATAATAAGAATCAACATGCCACATATAATTTGGTCCTTTATTATATGCCCTTCGTCTCAGCCTATTTCTCGAACGCAGTTCAACTCCTGGGTTTTTTCCTTCAAGAGACGTCTCACAGTGTTCATTTTGACTACCAAACCATTTTGTAAACATTTCAGGTGCATCCATTGATATCCATGCAGACTACCTGAACCAAGTATTTGTTGGTCAATGAAGTCTGATATAATTGTTAGGTCTGTGTAATTTTTCCTTCGATACAAATTAAGTTGTTTCAAGTACCTTTTCAACTGCCTTTCACTGATCAGAATGTCATGTCGTAACATCAAAAATGCTTTTATTTCGGAAAGATTGAATCCTACCTGAAAGTATCGTTTGATTAACTGCTTCACTTCTACCATGATATCAATTTATAAAAGATATCATGCAAAATTGAGTAACGTTGTCGAAAGTTCAGAACTTCAGAACATGACAACCTAATATGTAGAAATAAGGTATTTCATTTCATCTTTCATCTATGGTCATTTTACACACCACACAGTACACACCAAAGAGGGGAGGGTTCTTTTTCTCTATCTCTATGAAAGTGGGATTGTTAAAATCACAAATCCACAGCCCTTGTCCTTATTGGTCACATCTTGATCACGTGATCTGGCGCAAACGCAGTCACTATTCTTGACTGCACGAACAATAAAATATACTTGGCAACACAGCAGCCGGAAAAAATATCTCTATGATTTTTATAAGCGGCTCTGAAGGGACATAGGAGATATTTTTTTAAAATTATTTCACATTTTACTTTAGCAGCCCCGAAGGGACATAAAAATGTGGGAGATATTTTTTCAAAAAATATCTCACCATGGCCCTTCAGAGCTTTCGTAAATCCCTGTATGTATTCGACAGTTTTGCTGTAACAAGGATACGGGCATTATGACATGCAGTGATAGAAGGAATAACCCCAGACCTTAATATGAACATTCGACATATTATCATTCATTTTCCAATCTCTGATGTAAGAAGCAAATGCCCAATGTTGAAAATTGAAGTGCGGATATCAGAATAATAAGAATCCGCCATGATTATTAGATCTGCTCCAATAACTAATATTCTATGGTTACCAGAATAAGTTTGATTTTCTCTATTAATGAATATCGGTCCATCCGACAGTTGATGGTTGGATTGATTCGAGATTTATGAATCAGCTTATTGATATTTATTCGAAATAAAACAGCTGGTTACATAGGAAATCAGTACTTACTGGCTGGACGAGTGTTTTTTTTTATGTTATGGTTCCCACGAAAAAGGATATCCTGTAATGTTCAGAGAACATCGTGCCGCCGTACTCAATATTACAGAATGTTCCATGAAATTGCATTGTATTCGAATGGTGTTTTTCAAAGTATCACGGCATACATCAGAAAAACGAAGCATATATTGTTATATCAGTACTATATTCGAGTTTTATATAATTTCGAATTCTCTGATTTCATTGAATCGTCATATAGAGGTTCTGACAATTGAAATCACAGTATAATTGAGAGTTATCCTGAAATCATGCTCGTGAATTGTACGATATACAGGGTAGGGTGTCCGGAAATTATGCGCAGAAAATCAAGGCATTTGTTGGCACAAATTTATGCAATGAATTGATATTTATTTTTTTCCATGGAAATGAAGCAGATTATCGAAATAATTCATGTGACCAAAATGTTGTATTTTCAGTTGTTCGAAAGGTTATAAAGATACTCAATTCAAAAAATCAGTGGCGTACATTATATTGACAATAATGGTAGGTTGCCCCCCGAAACGCCACTGGATTTCAAATTTTGAATTGAATTATGGCTATATCAGCCTCTTATGACAAAAAATATAATTGTCGTATTTCAAAGAAATCGGTGGAAGGACATTTGAGATATTCATGAAAGAACGATCTTTTTTTAAACTGTATGTTGAAAACTATGCATTTCCGGACCCACGTTAATATAAAATTTCTTATTATATCATGTAGAATCACCTCCTTGATTTTTTGCGCATAATTTCCGGACACCCTTGAAAAAGATAATTTGTGGCATCTCCTTACCCATCTGTTTTCTTCTTCTCGGTATCTAGTTCTCTATAAGTTTGTTGAAGTTTGTCGGTCAAAATCTCTAAGTTTCTTGTTAACTTATAATCCGCTTCGAATTGTTCTGACATCAAGACTAAGTCTCTAGTGGCATCATGCAGGGGAATGTCACTGATGAATAATCCTCTTCTGAAATATGAAATTAAGCGATTCGTGAGGAATATGAATGTTTCTTCCGGAGGTGAATACATAAGTGATAATGCTTCGATCGATAAATACATGTTTATTTGTATGAAAGTTTTATTGTTATGGCAAACAATCAAGGTTGTGAAAAAATCACGAGAGCTTGGTCGGGCGATTTTTTCTACTTCCCTTGATGCGAGATTTTTTGCCAAATGACGATAAAATTTGAGAAGTATTATCAATAAAAACATTTCTCGAATGTATCTTAGGGAGAATGATACACAACTATAGAATAAAAACAATTTGGTTTGAGAAAGGATCGACGTTGTGGTAATAATAGAATGTTCTTATATGAACAAAAAGTAAAAGTGCAATTATCCTGCGATGGTTTTTTTTTTCGGAATTTTTTTTTTGGTAATCACGTATTCTTGTCTCAAAAACAAGAATTTCACAATGAACATGTGAACAAACTGCTATTAATCGAGATATTTTATGTAAAAGTGCGTAATTTCACCTTATTTTGCAACCCAACTCGGATAATCATTCACAACTACTTGTTTTTCTGTTTTCATCACTTGGTTTTCTGTTTCGAGCCAGAAGCTTTTCCACTTTCAGTCAGCTGCTTATGATCTATAAGGCACAGATCCGACCTGTCCTAGAAAACTGTTCCCATATTGGGAAAGCAGCACCCAAACATACCCTAAAACTGTTGGATTCTGTCCAAAAAAAGACGATTCGTCTCGTGGGTGATGCCTCGATCACAAACTCACTCACTTCTCTTGAACACCGTAGAAGAGTTGGCAATCTGGCTCTATTTTATAGATATTCACATTGGCGATGCACTTCTGAAATATCAACAATGTTTCCTTTCTTGGCAGTCCACACGAGATTAACCCGTCGAGTTGAGGCTTCGCTTCCATTCGTGGTCACTTTGGAGACCTGCAGAACATCTCTTTCCAAAGACTTGTTCATCCAACGAACAGCGAGGCTCTGGAACACATTGCCTAGGAGGTGTTGCCCGAGGCATATCACCTCCAGAAATTTGAGAAGAACACCAATTCCTACTTCATTTCCCTTGGTTCCCACGATGTTCTCTGAACATTACAGGATATCCGTTTTCGTGGGTACCAGAATATGGAAAAATATATATATACCCACGTTGTACTTCAATAACACATTTCATTTCCTAAAATCAACAAGAAGTATGGTTTATTTGGAATTTCTTCATATTTAGTGAGGTGAACATTAGTTTGGATTTTCCAGTTTCTTGCGAATTTTTTAGAAATTTGACCTATATTTGACATCCCGTATTCGTAACATGAGTACTGTGATTTGTATTCAGATTTGATAATTGAATGACCGTTAACTGGTGTGATTGTTTACCTCACTAAAATATGGAAAAATTCCAAATTAACCATACTTCTTGTTGATTTTAGGAACTAAAATATGTTATTGAAGTACAACGTGAGTATGTAATGTATCCAAAGATGGTAAAAAAAGGGCAAATGATTATTAATGGATATTCAAGATTTATGTGGCTGAAGTTAGTTTCAGATTCGAATCTGTGCTTCCGCCATTTTATAGTCGGCCACAAAAATATTTTTGCGAAATATTCGCAATCAACAGTTCACAAAATAATTCATAATCAGAAAATTTTTGAAGGAAGATAGTCTTTTCAACCGACCTATATGATGATGGTTAACTCTCGGATAATATAATATCCCTAATAGGGAGAAAATAGCCCTTGTATGATTCGATGAATTCGAGGAATTCATTAAACTCAATACTTTCAGTTTGATTGTAAGATGGTTCCTACATAACCCCAGGCACACTGGTACATCACATATATGATATTTTTTGAGAATAACTGCCCGTTGGGGTAAACACCCTACAATTTGGTTGACAACGTCGGAATATTGAGGGAGATAGGAAAACATGAATCGATTTCGTTGGGGTTGCTTTCCCCAACGGGTAGGTCTTTTTAATAATATCATAAATGTAAAGTACCAGCGTGCCTGGGGTGATGTCGGAACCATCTTACAATCGGACTAGATATATTGAGCTCCATAAAATCCTTGATTTCACACTGTAGAAAATTCCTCTGAGTGAATGCATATGTGGTTGTGAGTGAATTTACTGATTGGAATTTTTGAGTGAATTCTCAACTCAAACTGGATATTTCCTCAAGTTCTCATATCAATGAGAATGTTTATAACATATTCGATTGAATCGGTTTATGAATTACCATATTACACAGCAGTCAAGTAGGGTGAAATTTCAACTCAATCGGGCGTGGACCGAAATTGACTCATTATTGCGTGGACCTTGAGTGAAATTTCACTCACTTTTATTTCAGTGCATCAAATCATATACGAGGGCTGTTTTCTCCGTATTATGGATATTATGTTATCTAAGAGTCAACCATCATCATAGAAGTCGGTTGAAACGACTATCTTTCTCCAAAAATTTTCTGATCATGAATCATTTTTTGAAACCTGTTCATTGCGAATCTTTGGGAACAATATTTGTCTGGGCGACTATGAAATGGCGGAAGCGCAGATTCAAATCTGATGAAGCTAACTTCAGCCACATATTCAATATAGGTGGCGAAACATGGTGAAATTTCGCCTTTTTTCTCAATAGATAGCGATTTGTTCACATTTCCATTGTGAAATTCGTGTTTTTTATACGAAAATACTCAAGTAACAAAAAATGTTTCGAAAAAAACCCATCGCATGATGAGTGCACTTTTACCTGAACAAAAAATGCGTACCAATGTACTAGGCTATATCTCTTGATCAAATTCGAACAGATTTACAAAAAAGTCGTTCAGTTACCTGGTCAAATCATCCAAGTTCATCACACTTGGGTAGCATAGAAACACTATCAAATCTGACTCTGGTACATATAGCATCTGGCCTTTGAGTCTCAGAAATCGGAACTCTGGAGGAGCGTTGACTTTCATAACCCCAGCTCTAGTTTTCAGCACATAGATGGTGTTGATGTGGGACAGGATATTGTCAAAAGTCAGATCCAGATGAGGGCGGATCTATGAAAATCAAAATAGGTGAAATTTGAGCTATGCTTATCTTCATCTTTCGCAATATCTCACTACTCATATCATAAGGTGTGAACAGCGTTATTACTTATATTTGATGTTTAACTGTCACATATACCCAAATCTGAAACCACCGAACTTGACAATAAGCCTATCATATCAGAGTCAAGTTTCGTGTTAGCGAGTATTTCACTCAGTTATCAAATGGACCAATCAGGAGCTCAAGTCAAGTTCGGATTATCAGGCCTAATACCATGAGTGATCGACTGTTTCACTCATCACATAATGTGACCAATCACAAGCCAGAGACAACGCTCATCGCGAAAACATTAGCTGTCTTTCAATTCTGATTAGTCTATCAGCGTTGATGTATAACCATGGAAAGCGAAGCGGAGTCTGGATGTAACCATGGATATAGCCGAGTGAATAAATAAAATGAATATGGCTGTACTTGTCGGAATGAATTTCTCATTTATAATAAATGCTCTTTATGCTTCGTGAACGTGAAATAAGGTAGGTACGGGTAATAAAGCATGTCGGCTAATAAGGCCTTATCGTTCAAGGTCACATTGGCCGGTTGCTAACATTCATAGATGGCGTATCAAACTTTCCGCGATCTTTTAGTTCGCTTACTGCCACCAGAGCGGCGTCATGCATTCTGAGGAGCAGTCGTGCGGCTCAAATAATAAAAAAATCGTTGAAATCAATCGTGAGTTTTGTTTGTAATATAACACTTATTCTTATAATTTGGCGGTATAGTTTCCTATCATTCAATACTTCTGCGACCTCGATGTTCAACTAGTATATATCATGGTCTGTATAATGATATTTTCGATTTTTCTTCACTCATGTTGTTGAAGGTTATTAGGGCCTACAAAATTTGACATGAGATCATCTGGATGAGCAAATGGTATCACCTCGAGTATATCACGTCGGATTATCACCGGATGATACAGATGATTTGAGGGTCCTGATGGCTGCTATACAAAGACATTAGTCGATATTTTTGAGACCAGAGCATCATCAATGCATAATCTTTAATTATTGATTCCAATTACAAAAAGTTATGCACCTATTTTGATTTTTCATTCATGTCAAAGTCTCAGGCCTCATCATCCTACCATTTAAAAAGGCCTAATGACAAGGTTTTTCTTTTTTAATAACGACAGAAGTTGCCACCTCCTGATTATTTCACACTACAATTCATTGAACCGGATAAATGGCTTCCATTTCATTTCAAGTCTCCCTCAGCTAAGCCTTTTTACCCGCACCTACCTCAGTCTTGCAAAATTCCATTCTGTTCTGAATACCTTCTCATAATTCTGTCGTTCATGGTTAACTCAATTGAGCGACAGAATCATCTCGAATATTCAGAACATCGTTGTATTACTCATTCCTTTCAGCCCCATCGGGATATATAAATGTCCCACTCTGAGTTTGATAATACTTACTAGTATGAATGTGTCCCTATTTCAACGGATTTTAGTATTCTTCGTGCATGAGCATCAAAAGGAAACTGAATTGGCAAGACGGTGTCACCTCGGAGACAGTGTTGTTCTTGTTATTACTTTTGTAATAGATCTATTACTATTCCACGGAGATAGTAACGATATTACGAATTGTCATAAATCTATTACTATTTGCTGTTAGCACCAAAATATGATGTTTCGAATATGAGTCGATCCCCTTTGAAACGGATGACGACCTCGACAAACATTACGAGACAACGACATCATCTTCTGATTCGAATGGTCAACAAGATAAAGAAATCGACAGTGATCATGAGCAATCGTCTGTGCAGAACGTGTGAAAGTATCACTGTGCAAAAACTTTCACGCCAAATCAAATATAAAACTGTAAAATTTTATCGACTAAATATTTTTTAATACTTTTTTTCCATAGGTTACCAGTGGGACATATATGAGCCATTCAACAATACCAATAAGACATATTTTTTGTCCCAATTGTCTATGTCAAAATCAAAGTTAGGATATTTTAATCCTAAATAGTGATCGAGGATGAGAGGGTTATGATAGTCATTTTGTCAGAAATCGACGATATTCGAGTTTGGTATTAAAGACTTCTAACTCAGTTATCAAATGCACCAATCAGGAGCTCAAGTTAAGTTTGGATTATCAGGGGTACCTAAAACGATGACTGTTCTATAATTATTCTGTCACGAGATTCAATTTCTTCTTAACACCACGAATCCGCAGGACGAGAGGTGTTTTACCTTAGAGCAATTTCATCGAGTTTGGAAGTTCTGACAGAATGATCGATAGTATTGTGAGCACGAGTTGTATTTATTGAGACAATTCCACTACCTGATGAAACTTATCTCTATTTCATTCCAGCTGATAAGATGTTATTCTATTTAGATTCGTGGATGCGGTGACGACGTACACAGTAAAAAAAATAAAGTGAAATTCAACACTAAACCTGTTCCCAGGAAGACCACTAAGCTTTGGAGTAAATGATTTAACTCTATAGTTTAGTATATTATAGTGTGATTTTTTCAATTCAATTAGTGTAAATTTTCAATGCAAGCACATTAAAACTCACTCTATTCATTTCTATAAATATATTAAATAAACACAAAAATAGAGTTGGAAGAAACAATTACGAGAGTGAATATTCCACTCAAGACCCAAGCTAGTGTCAATATCATCACTCTAGAGTGAAATTCAATAACCGAATATTACATAGTCACAAAAGTTTAGAGTTGTAATACAATAGTAGAGAGTAGATTCCACACTATGAACAGTGTCGGATCCACCGGAACTTGATTGAATTATTTACTCTACGTGGATGTCAAATTGCTCCTGCATTGTTCAAATTAACACTACTATTTGTTCAGGTGCTAATAAGGAGTTATCATTTATTCATCATTTTAGATTTTGATATAGTACACTAGTTGAGTAAACTCGTCACTACTTCCTGTTGAGATCTCATCCAAGTTAAATTAACCATTCCTCCACATGTCACAGTATTTATATATAGGCCCCCGACAGACGTTCAGCGGCGAAGTCTCCGCAGCGCCACCTTTATGCAGTAGCGAGAATTGACGGATGAGAAGTAGTGTGACTTTATAATATGTTAATCGTTTGATATTTAAAAAATGACTCGAGTCCCACTAGACTAATTAGTTAACCTATATCTGTTTCATAAATCGTTCGAAATAATAATTCGAAACGGAAAAGACGGAAAATAACTGAGATAGGTATACGGAAATACGTTCATAACTCAATGTTGAAAAAAATTTCTCACTACGCGGGTATAGTAAAAAAGCTACTTGAAGCTAATATCATGATCATCATATCTTCGACACTATAATCTGTATCACTTATTTCACTATCTAGTAGACTGAACGATCTGAAACTGTATAGATTGATATTTCATCGTATATAGATTGAATTGAACAATGATAGAGTGTCAATTCAATCGACAACAGAGGAATATTCAAGTTCACTAGTGTCAGTAAACACTAGTATGAATTCAATTTCAATTGTTTGTGAATTGAGTTATCTGAATTGATATTTTACCGAAATTTCAGGAATATAGAGTGAATTCAATACGAGAATAGTGAAAATTCAATCTAGAATTAGTTTCGAAGGAGATAATCTGCGAGGAGTGTAGTAGTAGAGTTGATTGCAGTATTAGAGTGAGTTTGTCAGAGTATTTCAACTCTAAAAACATACTCTACGGATTTCACTCGAAGCGGTTTTTTACTGTGTAGGTATGATATAACCGGCTCTAAAAATCAAGGCGGCGTCTATACCGTCAGATGACCGACCCCGGAAAAAAAACATTGAAATACAACCCCACTTTTCTTATTTGTTTACAAATGATTGAAATAGTGTTTCACAATCATTTTGGCATACGAATCGAGCTTTTCGGCTATTCATTAATTTGCGCATGCCATCACATTTTACAATGCATAAAAAATGCAGCTAGAGAAAGAGGAATCCCGTTGGTACATGATTTGAAAGTCACTCACATATAGTTTCCATTTGGAATTTGGTTATTTTTCTGATTTTTCATCGGAATTCCTCTAGCAATAGGAACAGTTAGAAATACTCGTGGAATTTCTGAAAGAATTCGAGAAGATTACACTTATGCAATCAAACGGAAGAACTGGACTGACAATCATATGCTGACGACATATGATCGTGTGTATTGTAGACATTTCCAATATATTAGCAGTATTAGGTTCCAATGCAGAAGTGCGGCAGAACGAATTTTGATAATAAATGACAAAATTCTATGTGAGATTACTATTCACCTGAAAATTCATATTCCTTCGTCTCTCGCTGCATTATAAGTGCATTGTACAACAGTACAATGAGAAGGCATTCTTGAATTAATGAATGGCATGAAAAACGCAATTTGTATGCTAAAATATGAGGAAGATTATTTCAATCTTTTGATTCCTCTATGAACTAATGAAAAAAGTGAGGTTGTGTTTCAATGTTATACCTTCAGGCTCGGTCATCGTGCACGCGACCTTTTGAGACACACCATTCTGATTGGTTTCATATAATCATATAGTTCGTGGAATTGTCGAAAATACCGAACATGACTATTGACTCTGATTAGATCATCAAGTTTAGTGTTTTCAGTGTGTATGTGACAGTTTAACGTAATTATTGGTAATAACGCTAGTGAACGTATTCAAAAATGAATAGATTACATCGAACATAGTGGAAAGCATCACGAAAATCTCATTACAAATACAAGAAATACAATCAATCATATTATAACAACCATTGCAGGTACAAGCCGGTCTTGAAATAATTAAAGTCGTATCTATATAATAATTGTACCTTTTATGATTAGATATGATTGGGAAAAATCTCATCTACTCGTTATTGAGTTTGGAAATACTCACAGTATCTAGGATATCTGTTATCTTGCATTTGAATGAGTTCGCCTTAGGTATCACTCGTGCTACTGAGGATCCAGTTTGAACGATCTTCATGTCTCTGTCGAACATGATGTGGAAGGGAAATAGTCTACAAAACGTTGCTGGGCTCACTTTGGGTTCTGAAAATGAGTTATAAATTAGAAATCTTTGTATTTATCCACCTGCGATATGAATAATCAACATCTGAATGTGATGAAATTATTATTTTTCCTACATGCGTCCTAAAAATTCTAAATGTCTGCACTCATTTCTGTGTTGAAAGATTAACTTCTTCGCACAATTGCGAGAAAGTAAATTTGTTAAGTATCTGGAAAGTATACAGACATTTGAATATTCAATAAGGATACTTGTTTCATAATGTAAACTTTTAGTTTTTTTTCGTACGCTAGTAGAAGGACGCTTTCCGCACTTGTTTGGTAGACTACTATTTCGATACTCTTTCGACTCTTTCCGCATATGATTCCATAATGAACATTTATTTCATCTAGCGCTATAATAGGAATTGAACATTCCTCAACGCCAAATTGTTTCGAAATAAACGTGAATCTGATCGTGTGTGTTGAAATGAGGAATTTTGAAAAAAAAAATGAAGTGAATTGGTAATAGAACTAGAAAGCCCAAAAATATTTCCACAAATGTCAAAAGAATGAACAGCAATGGTGTATGACGAAAGAAAAACAACTACTTTCCTGACTATTGCCACGCAGACCATTGAATTACATCCTCCTGAATGCCGATTGTTCTTAGATCATAGCCAGGTTAACGCTTGACACCTACAGATCGGGTTCGGACTTTTGGCCCTCATCATTATAGGGTAGTCACCAGTCAGCTGTCGTTAAACCGCTAACTAAGCGGAATCTGACCCAACAAAAGTACAGTGTGTTGCCAGACAAGATTTTCATTTTTAACCAACCTCCATATGGTTGGCGGCAAACAGTGAATATAATGAAAATAAGTGTACCATTTTTTTCTTCTCAAGTATTCACAGTCGAAAACTTTATCATATGAAAACAAATAAAATGACAAAATATTCTCGATTTCCCTTTTCCAGTTTCAGTGTATCACACGTCACCATTTCAATCACTATATCTGTGTGACTATCACTGAAATGAACTACTATTCAGATCGCTAATGCCACGAAGAAAAAAATCGAACTAGATAATATGGATCATGCGCAGGACCTGTCATTAATCTTACTGTTACTTATGTTTCCGAAGACCAAGAATCATGACTCAATGACATTAACGATAGTTTGGGTGTTCCTGGCCCTGCACATTGAGCAGAAGCGTTTTCAGGCGAGAATTCACCCGGGATTTTCGGGTTCACTTATCCTGACAACTGTCATCACTCAAGGACACAAAACACAACATAAGACTCTGTATTCTGGTGTTGAGGGCAATACGCTAATTCCGTGAACTCTGTCAAGTGTCTGTTGTCTATCAATATTATAATTGACAATAAACCCTTTGATGAAATTCATTCTCTAATTTGACAGTTGATGCCTTCAAATATACCACAAATGGGCTAATATCACAATATAGTTCCACAGTACTTTTCAGTAGCAATTGAACCACAACCAAATGTGGTACAAATGCAGTACCTTTGGCAACACAGTACAAAAATAAAATCGGCTTTATATTGAGAAAGTTGAGTGGGTGTAGCGCCCTCTAGCGTGGTAAAAGGCTCGAAGTCATTTCCACTTATTTTCCAAAAATAAACAACACACACTTTTTTTTTTTTTTTTTTTTTTTTTTTATCGCTTGGAGCGCACGAAAGGGAATCCCTATAATGTTCAATATATGGATTTCGGGAGGAAGCAGAGACATGCTGAGCTGCGATCGATGCGAATAATTCGCCAATAATGGCATGAAAATATTCTACCAATATTTCCAAGACAAAATAGCAATGATTTACCAACATTTTCAACTTATATTACTCCAATATTTCAATAAAATAGGTGATAGATCTGTACTAGCTGCATACACGTAACTGATCAATAGAATGAAGAGATTTTGTATTTCTTGTTAAATTTATCATCAAATCGCAGAGCGCTTTTGGCTAAAAAACAATCATCAGTGCTATACCTTCAAGTAAGTAATATTCATGAAAATTTTGAAAAACAAATCCAAAAGTGTAGATTACTTCAAGTATCTACAAAAAGGTCCAAAAATTCGAGATCAAAGACATCATTATGGTACAAACGGAATTAGGAACAGACATACATTTAACAAAAAAAATTTCCCTCCAAAAAATACATTTTGAAAAATTGGTTCAGTTCAGGTCTCTCGTGCTCTTCCAGGACGTGGACTCAACAAATTTTTCAAAATGTATTTTTGGAAAATTTCACAATAACCCATTAGGAAACTTTTTAAATGTCTGTTCCAAATTCCGTTTGTGCCATAATGATGTCTTTGATCTCGAATTTCTGGACCTTTTTGCAAATTCTCGATGAGTATAAATAATCTACACTCTTGGATTTGTTTTTTGAAATTTTCATAAATATTACTCACTTGCAGGTATAGCACTGATGATGGCTTTCTAACCGAAAGCACTTTGCGATTTGATAATGAATTTTACACGAAATACAAAATCTCTTCATTCTATCAAATAAAAGAGTTTGATTGTTGTAAATAAAAAATTATCGGATGAAATTAGAGGAACAATAGATTTGATGGATCTATTGAAAATACGTATTTTCTAATTATAATTTCCCGAACAAATGAACGTAATTTTCGCGACATCTTTGACAATTTACAACATATGTGCTCATTCTGATATGCTTGCCTCATGTGAATTAGTAGTTCGCCAAAGATCGGATCACATAGAGTAGGCCTATCTTACGCTTGCTGAGGTGGAAATTTTGTGATAGGTTTCAAACATTAGATATAGAGGAGATCAGAATAGATCTTCTAAATGAGTCGCAGTGATCGTCACATTTTCTAATTAACCCAACGATTCTGTGACTAATTCTGAAAACAATGAAATTAAATCATTGAGTGCGGTTGATAAGAAGTTTACTTTTTTTCAGCTGGTAAATGTACATTTCCGCTCCAGGAAACCTATCTATATCATTATATGAATGAGTATTTTCACGAATTATCATTAGGAGAAATAGAAAGTATTAAAAGTAAAGGTAATTGATTTTGTTCGCTTTTACTCGCTTTAGATCTTCAATAATAAGTCATTATATTATTGGTGAAATCTCTTTGTTTTGTTATGTAAAGGAAATCGATTATCGATTACATGTCGACTATTATTGAAGTGACATTATGAGATATGCAAATTGACTGAAGTGTTTCCTTAGCATAGTTGTATATAAGTTCATCAAATGATTATTCAATGATCATTCTGCAAAAATACTTATATCGTGAACTATCTTTATTATGTTTGATGGGAATTATCAGTCGTGAGGAGGAATCGGAGACCCTTTATCTTCGATCATGAATAGTCCGATTGAAATGCCCTTGAAAATATCAAACCTTCCCAGCATAATATTCAGTCAGCACATCCTTTCGTTGTCAACCTCGAAAGATGTCGAACAGCACTTTATCAAAACTCCTCCATCCATAGAACGGCTATAGGCTCTGGAATTCATTGCCTGAGGAAGTATTCCCAACAACATATAATCTCCAGAAGTTGAAAAAAAATTCAATACCTACCTCCTATCCCTATCCTCTCTAGGAACGCACGATGTTCTTTGAACATTATAGGGATTCTCTTCGTGCGCTCCAAGCGTTGAAAAAAATAAAAGAAAATCTGCTATTTTTGTGTGAAATACAGTGTGCGTAAGATAAGGATGAAGACTGAAGAGGCATAGGGATCTCAGGAACCGTTTCTTCGAAACGAAATGTTGTATATGGAAATTTTGTGAATGTCATTTTGTAGAGGTGAAGAAGTGAAGAAGAAAATGAGAAAGTGCCCGAAACTTTTTAAATATCTTCCTGGAATAATTATGAACCAAATCGTCAAATTCCGATTTTTTTTCAAATATCTCTGGAAATACGCAATAATTTTATAGGATATCTCGATATCTATAACTTATTGATTCCTCGCAATTGCGCAACTTTTTGCTAATTTGACCTAGCGTGTATAATCTTTGGTAGAAGTCAATATTGCACAAAGTAGAGTGAAATTTTTCCAAAGGAAGGTAGGGAATGCCCGAAGATATCTCCATAAATTTTAATGGTGTTGTTACACAATCAGAAGGGACATGTTTCGTTCTTATGAAATACCATCTTCAGCCTAATTGAAAGTTCTACAATACAAAAAGATTGATGTGTAAGAATCACATTTTTTGTTCTTCACTTTCTTGTTTAAGTTGAAAAATGTAATGCTACTGTAGCTGTAAAATTGTTGTCGAGGCCCATAGTCAACATATCGAGTTTATAAGTGACAAAACGGGTTCTCAATGAATGAAGTGTGTATAGTTCATCCAAAAACAATTGCAGAGTCTCGTGCTGGACCTGCAGTCACTTCAAAGGGAACTACGAACACGCCCACGCCAGACAATGCGGGATATTCTTCAATAATTGATATTGGATAATGATATACTATGATACTTGTTACACAATGTATAATACTCTCATTTTCTTGTTTCGCTTTTTATTATACATAGGCATAGGAAGATATTATATACCCAGTCGACCAGCACAGAATATAACAGATATAGGCGATAAAGAATCAGTTATTCAAACTAAAATGTTCATCCTGACTGATCCTTTTATTAGCGGACACACCGTGTATCTACGAAGTTGGAACAAATCAATGTAGACTGGTCCAGTCGAATCTAAGAGTCGAATGATACTTGATTATTCATCACTTATATTTGTTTTATATACATGTGCATGTGAACCTGAGGTTTTACTTAACAGGGTATATAGGGTGATTCGAAATACGATGTAAATATTTTGAGGGCGTATTGTTGGGATCAAAGTTAGACTTTTTCTTCATAGAAACTTTTGTTTCCAAATGTATCTCATTTCGGCCAATGAACAAGATGACCTCTCCTCCAATCCCCCTCCCCCCTCAAAACGGGGTGTACATAATTTTTGAAGGAAGGATGAAATAATATATAAATGAATATACAGGCTGATCCACGGTGGATGGCCTATTAGAAGTATCTGGAGAACGAGAAGACAAAACATTCTGAAAATTGGAATGCTCTGATAATTGAACATTCTCTATCCGTCTAAAATATTTCCATCGATACAGTGTTGTTACTTCTATCAGAAACAACTAGTAACTTCATTATTTTGAATAGAGCACCCTGTATTTTATTGAATTTTTAGATTTTCCCTGAGAAGCTGATTTCATCAATGTATCACACTTTGGGCCTAGCAGGAATGATTACATAGATATAGGGTGTTCGAAATCGAGATTTTTCAATTTCAGGATTTTTTTGTGTCGAAACTATTCATTATCGATCAAAACAGCCCACATGTCCCTATCTCAACTTCCGATTCACTATCTACTGACATCTAATTGGAACAGATACAGGGTGATCAGAATACTGAATCTTGAAGCACTCTGTATTTTTTCCAATCAAATTCTAGTAGATAGTCAATCAAAAGTTGAGATAGGGACATGTAAACCGCGTTGATCGATAATGAATAGTTTCGACAAAAAAAAATCTTAAAATTGAAAAATTTCGATTTTAAACACCCTATATCTCTGTAATCGCTCCTGCTAGACCTCAAGTGTGATGCATTGATGAAATCAGCTCTTCAGAAAGAATCTAAAAATGCAATAAAATACAGGGTATTCCATTTGAGATAACAAAGTTGCTAGTTGTTTCTGATAGAAGTGGCAATACTGTATCGATGAAAATATCTTAGAGGGCTAGAGAATGTTCAATTATCGAAGAATCCCAAATTTCAGAATGATCTGTCTTTTCGTTTTCCAGATACTTTTAATAGGCCATCCACCGTGGATCACCCTGTATATCAGAGAATATTCCTTTTCAATGGAATAAAGTGTCTGAAAGAAAAGGGGGCCTGCCTCTTTCCAGAAGATTTGATCCATTTTTTCAGTAACAATTACAGAATATCTTTTTTCTTCACCTAAATCACAGAGGCTGTAGCTTGGAGGGGGTGAATCTTAAGGCACATGTTTATATGAAGCAGAAGTCTTATTTTGATCCCAACAATATGTCCTTGAAATATTCACTTCGAATTTTGAATCATCCTGTATATCTTGCAAAAATGAGTTGTTTGGCCAAAAATTGTGTAGGTTAAAAGTGTAAGATGACGGAGGTCAAAAATTTCATTCATCTAAGATTTATTAGAGAAAATATGATGGAAAAATTACTTCAGAACGAAAATTAATTGGTTGAAGATGACGTAAATAGAGGATTTCGATTAATTTTTCTGGTGGAATAATGCAACTGTTTTTTTTTTTTTGGAAAATGTGAAAAAAATGTTGCATAGTTGAATTTTCTTTGCACCTTCAAATACCTGTACCTCCGTTATATTGAATAATTTGATCAAGCAATTTTTTGCCAATAACTTATTGTGGTGTGATATAGATTCTGATGAAATAATAACCTCACTTGATTCACCCTGTATGTACAGTGTTTTCGTTAAGTACTGAATGAATTCATGTTCAGCAATACTATCAATTCCTATTCAGTACTTTACGTCTGTATTTCGTGATTGTCGTGCTGGGTAGACTGAACCCAGCGAGCACAAAAACATCTCAGAGATGTTAAAAGTACGAGATTTCGAGACATTGAACCTCCACTGCGATGTTCTGTTTACACATGAATAGAACTATTATAGAACAGCCAATGTCCGCCGCAGACGGCAATTACCGAGATGTCCTAGATATGTCACAAAACTACCTTCTCCCTAGTTCTTTTTGAAGCCTTTTCATGGACACAACAAAACATTTTCAACGCGGCTTGCGCACATTAAATCGCTGTAAAAAAACCATTTTCGAGGTACTTTCCTGAAGCCATTTGTCAAAATGAACTTTTGCATTAGGATTCCATTTCCCTTGAATTAAAAAATGCATTAAAAATAGATTAAACATAAAAATATTCTCTTGATATTGTCACAAATAGGGTTATTTTTCATTCATTCATTCAAATGCATACAAGGTTCGAAGTCATTGAACGGTCGCGTCTTTGTTTATTAATTCCAAAATTTTCGAATCGTGAACGAACTCTTTTTTCCATAGTTGAACATAAACACAGGCGTGACATTGACTTCAACGAACCTGGACTATAGACCTGATTTCCTTACTGTCACGTTTCCGAAAATAAAGACAACTATTTAAAAGACGTAAGGAAGCGGGTTCGACAGTTCGACTACCGGTTCGACTACCGGTTCGACTGCGAGTTGGACTGCCAGTTCTAGTTGTAGCTCTGTTTTTTGAGTACGAGTCCGGAAAGTCTAAGGTGTGCCGATTGTAAGTTTGTAAAGTTGCCACTGTGCCCGAATCTTCGGAGTTCGGGCAGAGCAGAAGATGCCCTTCCTCTAAGGTCCCAGCAATATTAGCTTTCAATGTACATATAGGGTAAGTTAAGGTTTTTATTAATAATTGTTATTCATTTATGCCAAGAATAAATGTGTGTATATGTGTTGTTTGAAAACCCTTTCGAGTATTATTTATTATTATCACTTTTGAAGTTCATTCTCTAATGGATCTAGAACACAACTTAGGCAACCCCCGCCTACAGTTTGTGACAATATGAATTTACCTTCTTAATCGGTTTCTGAGTAGTGCTACACACAGACATATAGTTGGAAGCAGGTTTCCCAATTTTTGAAATGTTCTCCACAATGCATAATTTTGCAACTGCGGAGAAGCTGTGTATTGATGAATTCGTACTTTTATATATTGATTACACTGAGGCACCGAACAACACATCTTGCATCTGATGGTCATTATTACAAACTGAATAAGTCTTCTAACACAATAAACTTCACCAAATTCCTTTCTGTTCGTTAGCAGCGTGATGTAAGCGTGACACGTTGCAAACGCGAATGCCAATTGCGAACAAAAAGAACAAAATCGAAAACAAATCAGAATTCATCGTATTGTGACGTGAGCATGAGACGTTGTGGTGGGGCAAACAAAGAAAGGGCACAAAAGAACAAAAACAATACTTTCAATATCCTTCTGAGACCTCTTTGGGAAGTGCATATTACGCCTCAAAAAAAAATCCTCATGCCTACATTTCTAAAACATCCCAACACATCCCAGGGATACCTCTCCGTAGGCAAACAAAGAAATGCCACAGAAGAACAAAAACAATACTTCAATATCCTTCAAAGACCTCTATGATCAGTGCATATTACGTCTCAAAATAACATCTCCATGCCAACATTTTCAAAACATCCCAGGGATGTTTGTGCTTGCTGGGTATATTGAGTACTACCACTTATCTACTAACCAAGAGATAGGGTCTCTATTTCCACCGTTTCGGAAAGCTGACTTTTCTTTGGTCCTGATGTTTCGGTGATGAGGAACTGCACGTGATCACATTCTTCCTTGGTTTTGATTATCTCTACCTCCACTTCGGTGTTATGTAATCGACTAGCGACTGTCTGAAATCAAATTAGGTATGAACTGATTGCAGCTGTTGTTCCTTCCAGAATTGCCCATGCCCCATGCCCATGCTAAAATTGAGCCTGGCATTGCCAATCACCCGCAGACCTGTTTCGAGCTCTCGATGGTCATCAGCAGAACTAATGAAGATATTGGACACTTCAAAACAAAATGGTGAATCAGAACCTGTTCTTTTTCGAATTTTAGACTTCAAACATTATATCTCGATTCCATATATACGAGGGGAAGGGGTGGGGATGGTGAGTGAATGTTGAATTCATTCGAAAGGATGAACACCCTATATTTGATTGAATATCTGAAAACAGCGATTCTCGCTGATTTTGAAAAATTACACATACATACATTTTCGAGTATTATGTTAACCTAACTCGAACAAATCACTGATGGTATTTGATTATTTTCATATTCGAAAATATCATATATTCTGAACATTGTAATACACTTATCTCACATATAATGTTCACATATTACTGGTAGGGGTAATCACAATAGATCTTCTAGGTCACAGTGATCGAGAGGTCTCCCAGCCTATACGACCCATCATCTACAATCTACAATCTACTGGTCGACATTCACAATACAAGGTTAAATCCTTCCACTATGTAAACCTAAGTTTATTTATTAATGTGGTGTTGTTGTTGGGATTTACGTCATAAATTGTAGAAAACTATATTACCTGGAAGCCACGTTTCGTTAGTTTATTCGACATCTTCAGGGCACTGTGAGATGAAAGGGTCGTCACATATTCATAGATATAAATATGGAAAATACATATAGAAAAACAATTTCGTCTCTTGTGGTTGTTTTTTTTTTTTGATTCCGAAACAAGTACTGAACATGATTGATGTGACTAACATCATAGAGTTATAATATAAAAAAAAATATTCCTTTCTACATAAGGATGATTTTCCGTGTTAAACGAATGGTGATGTACTTTCTTGACGTTCGATCTGTTCCACTTTGAATATTCAACAGATGATCATTTTTCAATTCAACTCTTCAACGTGTTGTAGTGTAATGTTCGATGTCCCAAGCTCATTTCCATAAGTACATCTGTCAAAATAGAAACCAGTTTTCAACACGGAAAACTATTCTCATGTGAGTGGAAATCATATACGTATTAAGGTTCATGTAAACCCACGTGAAAAAAAACGGCAAGTTCAAAAATTTTGAAAAAAATCTGGTATATCAAGGTTTTTAATTGAAAACTTCTGTGAGATTTTGATGAAAATCTATCGAACGAATTTTGAGAAAAAAAATTAAAACTCCTTTTTTTATAGGTTTTTTTTAGTTTTCACAAAAACTGTTCGATGAATTTTTGTCAAAATCTCACAGCAGTTTTTAACAAAGAATTAAAATATGCCTGATTTTTTTGAAAATTTTTGAACTTACAGTTTTCCTACAATAGTGAATTAATCATTGAAAGTTGCTGTAAAATCTATATTATTCGAAAAATATGATATATTTTGATTATTCATGTAAGATGTAACGAATACGGATTACTTGAATCCTATTTCAGTCATAAACAATGATTTATTCGATTTTAAAATAGGGTTTTCAAAACCCCTTACCAAATTCCTCTCAAATAGATTAATCGCTCCAGCAGGTGCTGCCTCTGCTGGTAATAGTCATAATCTAAAGTAGTTTCGCTACTGTCCACGAGTATCGCATAAAATGTCTGACCATCATAATATTTGTCGTACAGCGTTGCCAATACGCCTAGACAAAGACAACCGATAAATGCTGATTGTTTCTAGCAAATCCTTCAGAAAATCGTCTATGGACACATTTTCCCTTTTTGACTTGTGAATATTGAATACATTCGCGGGCCTAATGAAGGGGGGGATGGGTCGTGTTGAATTATTTCATATTCATATGAAGATTAAGTCAATTCAGTTGATTATTGTGATGAACAATGAATGCTTTCGCAGATGAAATTTTTTATTAATAAAGAAAATGCCTTTCGAATTAGAAGTTTGGTTTTTCGGACATGCATCATGCACTTCATGTACCGGGAAGTGAAAATTTCATCCGAAATAATAACTTTTTTGTTGACGATAGAAATATATATAATATCTTCATCTTCATTGTGTCATAAACTTGCTCATGGAAGTGCCCCAAATGTTAGGGGCCTCTTCAGATTTTTATTATCCACCATAATGCCCATCTATGGAGGTTTTCATGGTTATTCCTCTAGAAAACAACTAACCATTTAACTTTCATGTTTTTCAATTCTCTAAGGTTATTATAAAAAATTTTCCATCTTCATGTAAGCTATCTCTATGGTAAGGATTCCTCTTGTTACTTAATTAATTTTTCTCATTGTATATAGGACTATGTAATTTCTTATTAGGCTGATGATGGACATTATGTATGCTCCCTTGATGTGATTATTCACAATGAGCATTTGGTTGAGCATTTTTCTCAAAAATATGTAATTTCTGGTTTTAAGCCTAGCAGCACCTCGATTTCCTAGAAGTGGTTTGAATTCCACGTAGGTCTCGCTCACCATAACCCCGCACAAGTTTCGACTTCTGGGGTGTTGATTTCCATCGAAATAGCGATATACAATTTTTATAAAATTATATAAAACACTAAAAATTAACAATAAAACGAATATGTATTGAGAAGGTACAATATTTTCTGATCGATTTTCCTCGAAAATGATACATCTCTGATTGATTCGGAACAAGAGCAAATCTTGGAATGGTTTATTTTCACTGCATTGGGCATGGAAAGCTCGATGGAAAGTTTATTTTTTGTACCGAATTGCATTATTATATCACATGGCGTTTCGGAAATATTCAAGAAATATCATATTTAGGACCCCCCTTCCAGGGGGCTGCAGCTCCCTCATATAAGAGACATTTATGTTCATCTGAACTTTTCTTCCTATTTTTGGTCGTAGAAGCCGGTGATGAAGTTCGACAGGCTAATTTCGAGATGTGGGTATACAGGGTGAGTCATGAGGAACTGTACTTACATGCTCCTACTACGAATAGAGGCACCTGAGGGAAATACCAAATGACCATCAGAAAGTGTCTCCGCCTTTTCTAAAATAATCTATAGGGTGATTTATGGATTATGGCCAAACCTTCTTTCAATCATAACTTTCCAACAGTTCTTTCGATTCCTTTCATTTCTTCATGGATTGTTATGCTGTCACTCAGCAATCAACTGACGTATTCAGAATCGTAAAAATCCAGGACCGGTCTTGAGAAATTGTGCCAATTTGGTTCATATCGAAAATTTCACCCTGTATAAGGTTTAAGTAAACTGTGATATGGAATTTTCAAAGTTGATGAACAGGCAACCAAAATGATTTACTTCAAAATTCCCTCACACTTTCATTGAATTTTTTAGAAAATGATCAATTTATACTACACGCCAAAACTTAGGCAACAAATATATTAATTTCAAAATTAATACTTCGCAATGCATGAATTTCACGTATAAAAGTAAGGATAAAATTATTTCCAATTCTTCAGCTCAACAATGATCAACATTCTCCTACTTCCAGGGTTGGATTCAGTAATTTTTTTGGTAGAGGGTAATAATCACCAAAAATTTCACCGTGTATATGATTTTAGTAAACTGTGACATGACATTTTTGAAGTCGACGAACAAGCAACCATATTAAAGCATTACAAATTGTCCATACTGTTTTAATGAATTTCTTCAAATAATAAGATCAATTATTACCGAACACGAAACTTTGGCAAAAAAATTAATTAATTTTAAATTAAATACTTCTCAACACTTCAATTTCACTTATAAAAGCAAGATTGATTCCAATTCCTAATCCCAATGATAATCAACATGACTATATAATTTCTAGGGTTGTATTTCTTTTCTTTGTGGAAAGTAATAATCATCCTGTATTTTGTTCTAAAATTTGTTCTATCCGTCATTCGGTATGATGTTATAGTAGGTAATGTGATGGACGAATGTCACAGCTTAAATCAGTTAAATAGTCTGAGGTTTTCAATCGATTTGTAATAGAGATTCTGAGTATTTCTGAATATTCCAGATTTCAGTTGATGACCCGTCTGTTGATAGAAATTGCCTGGAAAATTTTTGATTCGAATTTTCATAATATTGCGGATTTCTAAGAAACACTACAAAAGATTTTTGGGTCCATGGAAAATTACTGAATCCAACCCTGGATATAGAAGAATGTTGATTTCCAGAGAGCTGAAGAATAGGAATTGATGTTATTCTTGCTTCTATTCGTGAAATTCTAGCGTTGCGAAGTATTAATGTTCAAATTAATACTTTTGTTGCCAAAGTTTCGCGCGTGTAGTGAAAATTGATCGTATACTCTAAAAAATTCGATAAAACTCTGAGGAAAATTCAAAATACTTCATTCGGGTTGCCGGTTCATCAACTTTGACAATTCCATGTCACAGGTTACCAAAACCATATACAGGGTGAAATTTTTGGTGATCAATACTCTCTACTAAAAAATTACTGAATCCAACCCTGGAGATAAAAGAATGTTGATTATTGTTGAGCTGGAGAATTGTGAATAATATTATCCCTACTTTTATTCGTGAAATTCATGCGTTGCGAAGTATTAATTTTCAAATGAATACATTTGTCGCCAAAGTTTTGCGTGTAGTCGAAATTAATCGTTTTCTAATAAATTCAATGAAAGTGTGAGGAAACTTTGAAATACTTCATTTTGGTTGCCTGTTCATAAACTTTGAAAATTCCATATCACAGTTCACTAAAACCTTATACAGGGTGAAATTTTTGATATGAACCAAATTGGCAGAATTTCTCAAGGCCGGTCCTGGATTTTTACGATTCTGAATTCGTCAGTTGATTGCTGAGCGACAGCATTATTATCCATGAAAAAATAGAAGGAATCGAAAGAACTGTTGGAAAGTTATGATTGAAAGAAGTTTTGGCCATATCCAATAAATCACCCTATAGATTATTTTAGAAGAGGCGGAGACACTTTCTGATGGTCATTTGGTGATTTCCTCAGGTGCCTCTATTCTTAGTAGGAGCATGTACAGTTCCTCATGACTCACCCTGTATGTGTTTTTTCTATAGTGAGTTTTTAGTGCTGAATATGAATGATATATCATAATGAACATCGGATTTGAAAAGGTTTGAATATTTCCAATATGTTCAATACTTCAATAGTCCCAAGACACTCTCGGGAATTTCCTATATTTCCATTTCCATGGCAATATTTCCAATGGAAATATTTCCCCTCAAATCACCAATGATATATTATAGTGATGATATAAATATTTCCGAAATAAGGCGATTCTCATCAAGAACAGGATCTTTATTAAACCAGACCCCTTCTCTATTCTATAGGTATCATATTTTGTACAAAAAACCCTCAGATACAAATTTTGAATATATCATAATTACAAAATTCATCTGCCATATTGAATCCGCCATCTTGAATTTCTTTATTTTGACTAAGGAATCATAATTTCCGATGCCGAAAATCCCCTGATATAACGTTTGAATAGAATCGGATCATAATTACAAAACTCGTGTGTCACATTGGATCCGCCATCATAAATTTCCGAATTTTGATGGTAAAATCATGATTTCTGATCCAGAAAACCTCAGATATACAATATTTTTGAATTGGATCTTAATTACAAAACTTGTCAGCCATATTGGTTCCACCATCTTGAATTTCCAAATTTTGATGACACAATCATAATCTCCGACCTCGAAAACCCCCAGATACCAATTATGAATACAGTCGGATCATAATTACAAAACTCGTCTGCCATATTGGCTCCACCATCTTGTATTCTCAAATTCTGACAGAAAAATCATAATCTCCGTCGATCCCCGAAAACCCCTAGATACCTATACCAGTTTTGAATAGAATCTGATCATAATTATTACAAAATACACTAGTGTATAATCAAGGATGGAATAAGATACTCTTCGGATTTTTTGATGTTCATTCGCGTTCAGTCGTGACTTCGGCGACAGGTCGGAACGGGTTCGGACGGACGGATCGGGACGGAAATTCAATGTTTTTTGGTTTTTCCTCACCCAACAAAGTGCTGAACGCGCCTAAAGTTTTCACTTGAAAAATTACAATAATGTCATCAAGAATGTATTCCCCCAGAAATACATCGGAAGGCAATTTTGGACCACCGTGTATATTATAAATATCATTATCATTCCATACCAATTCCATATAATTCCATTCATATACAAACAAATAAGTATATGAGCCACACTAGTGTTTCTCCATTCACCCCTGTAGCGAACGTTATCACTGAAATATGAACGATTCATAATAATAATTAACCCTCGTAAAATCTCTTAAATACCCGATACCCGAAACAGAAGAGGCGGCCGACGCCGACGCTCATTAGCGCATCGCTTCGAACCTCAAAGTCAAAGCTTCCGCCTAGCCGCCTTGCGCCCGAGAAAATGACCTTGAAGGCGATTGCCGATCTTTTCATCTATGCGTTCGCGCTCCGACAACACATCGTCTCACTATGTATAGAAATTGTTATTATATTTATTGTGTGTTTATGTGTCGCCTTTTTCAATTGCATCGAATCCTCACGAAATATACATGTATATTCTCATAGATGCTAATATAAAATTCAATTCTACTCCTTCACCCACCGGAGACAATAAATATCAGATAATTATAATGTAGCGCAATATCAGTATATACCATCAGATACCATGCAATTTGCAAAAAAATATCGCAAGTCTAAGACCTATTACCAGCTATGGCAACAATGGTATGTATTTTACAGAGACAACGAAGGAATCTGCATATTTCGGAAGGGTTCTGCAAAATTTTTACCCTATGAAACACAAAAGTAGGGCAATTATGGTTGCATACATCAAGTAACACTTGGAGCACTAGCGACATCTGACAGATCAGAAACGCGAAATTTGTCGCTTTACATGTACCTTAATAAACAATACGGATCATAACGGGTGCCAGGATGAAGCCAAAAATATGAAACAAATGAATATATCCATAAGGATTTGGTGGCATGATACGCATGCGCCATGCGCTATTATAGTAGTCATCAAAGACATGCGTTTCGGTGGACAATGACGTTTATACTAGCCTTTCAATCAGAGCAGTATGTGTCTGACCGTTTCAAAACTTTTCCTTATGGATAGTCATTTGTCTTCAAAAATCGGCTTCATGTTCCGCTATGGAAACAGATAGAGATTATCCGTATTGATTATTAATACGTATATGGTGGAAATATTCTTTTTCTACAAACGCTTAACAAAGTAGCCTTTGACGCTTTCAAATTCCAGCACAAAGTTGACGTTTTCCCAGAAATGTCATTCTTTGACAGCATTTGCGCTCGTGAGCAGAAATATTGAAGAAACGCTCGCACATCTCTGTACATATCTATTCTTGAAAACCCCCAATTCTTTCATGATGGAAAATAGTGACAGTGAATCATCAAACACACCTCCTGATATAGCAGAAAGCGCAATAGTTTGAATCTCTTACCGGATAAATCAAGGAAGAAATATGAATTACAATATGATACATTCATAAATTGGTGCCACTCCGAGATGGTGAATGTGTATTCACAAAACGTTTTACTGGCTCATTTTGGTAAAAAATCAAAGACTCTGAAGTCATCAACTCATTGGTCTATATATTCGATGGTACGTATACATGCTTGAATGTTGAAAATAATATCGGAATCAATAAGTATCTGAAACTTATCGCATTCCTCCAGAAACAATCTATTGGTTATAAAGCGAGAAAAATCCAAAACATTCTTCGCTGAAGATATATACCAACAAATTTCTATAAGAAGCTCCCCATGAAGCATATCTGTTGAAAACGATGAATTATACTTTATAGTTTAACTCTTTGTTATCATCAAAAAGACAGTGTTTCTTTATTTTATTGCATCAATGAGTTCAATTCGATTGCAGAGTTTGTCGTACTATGGCTCAGAGGTCTGAAGCTCAGGTTGCCACGCTGGTGGTCCAGTTTCAATTCTCGGTAGGCCCGACATTTTTTTTCTGGCTTGTCATTTATTACATTTTCATAGTATTAGTTTCACGATAATAAATTGCCTGATATCATTCATATATTTACTAGGTCATTACTGATTTGTTTGTCCCTTTTATTCAATCATGGCCGCCTGATATTGCAATGAGAGGATTGAGAACTCACGAGTTCAGGTACTATTGGGTACTACATGTTGAGGAAAAAAAAAGAATCGGTTAACTAATAGGGAAATACAAGGGCTAACCTGCTCAAAGTGGGACATACTGTATATTATGGAGGAGAGTGATGACGGAATCAAATCTGAAAAAGTCAGTTATGACTTGTGTAACTGGAAAAAGCACTTTTTATACCTAAATCCGTACGTTTACCTTCACTATTCCAATAACGATGTGTTCGAGTCCGGGCCTGTCTGAATAGTAATGTAGCACTAATGCGCCATCTTCCGGTCTCTCGGTGCACCGGAAGGAAGGAGCCTTCATTCCAGGATAGAGCGTGCCCAAGTGATCGTGCAAGGCGTCTAGATTCTGCAACAAATCCATAACGAATCCAAGCAGAACGGTTATAGCACAGTCGAATTGTAATGAATATCAGCAATATGAAAATCAGTGATATAAACACCAACATCTCTAGCAGGTTATGTTCTCAGAAAATTTATTCATATATAAATGACCTCAGAATATTGCAAAAAAAGTCAAGAAGTCCAAATACTTATGCATTAACATCACTCAAACTTTCGTTCATTTCAAGATCTGTTATCATAAACTAACTTCCCCAAATTGAAATATCCAGTACATTATAGTTTCGATCAGGTCAACAGAGTTCGAAGACGTCAGATCCTCTAGGATTTGCAGAAACCGCTGACCGTGCGATGATACCTATAGGTATGCAATATCGAAAGGTTACGGCCATTCCCATTGCGGTAAATTGTGGATCTAACATATATTTCAAATATCAATGGAACAAGAGTCGATAAGACATGGTAATTATTAGTTCAATCGTTATTCGATTCATCACTACCAATTATTATATTGAAATCAGTACATAACACTCCTTCAACTTATGTATAACATTTGGAGAATATCCAGATATCTTCAAAATTGCTGTCATAATCCCATTCTGAAGAATGGGCACAGTAAAAACATTGAGAACTATCGTCCCATATCAATTATCAGTGTTTTCTCTAAAATTCTTGAAGAGTTGATATCTTCTAGAATCAATAGTTTCTTGGAAAACTTAAACCTGTTAGCAGAATGCCAGCACGAATTTAGACGAAGCATTCGACAGAAACTGCAACTCTTGAATTCACACAGCATATGCACAACTTGGTTGATGAAGAAAAAATAGTTATTGGAATCTTCTTCGATTTGAGCAGAGCCTTTGACACCATAAATAGACACTACACTGTTTTACCACTAACCAAACCGATTTTTTAACGCCTCGACACGTGTTTCGCTAACTATGTTAGCATCTTCAGGAGAAGATTAAAACTGATTTGAGTTTTAATCTTCTCCTGAAGATGCTAACATAGTTAGCGAAACACGTGTCGAGGCGTTAAAAAATCGGTTTGGTTAGTGGTAAAACAGTGTAGTGTATTATCGTGCCAAAGGTTCCAGTCTTCGATATACCATAAATAGAGATTTTATATCAGAAAAGTTATTCAAGTTAGGAATTCGAGGAAATATTAATCAACTACTTCGGTCATTCTTATCCAATAGATGTTTTCGTGTGAAGCAAAATAACACAATGTCAGAAGAGTATGTTACAACGACAGGGACTTCAAGGCAGTGTACTTGGGCCTTTGTTATTCTTGCTGTATATTAATGACCTCCCCAATGGAATAAGCAATGGAAAAATATTCTCATATGCGGACGATACCTCGATCATATTATCGTGTAAAACTGTCGAAGATATGTATCAACTAGTTGATAGAACATTAGTTGAATTAAGTAACTGGTGTTATAAGAACAGACTGATGGTTAACATGAAAAAAACAGTCTGCATGGAATATTCATATTCATCGCTAGAACCCTATATGATTTCGAATTCAATTTTCGGAATGAATCCCTGAGGCTTTCTGATTCAACAATATTCTTGGGAACGATGATCGATCCACTGTTCACATGGCATGATCATATTGATTCTACATGTAAAAAACCTAATCAATCACATTACTTGATTGAATCTCTGAAATGTAAGTTGAATATGAAATCACTGATGTCAGTGTATTATGCTAAATTCCACTCTATTATCAGATACAACATTACCATTTGGGGACTGTCTACAAGTACAGATCAAATTTTCATGAAACAAAAAGTTTTGTTAAGGATAATTTTCAATCTAGATTATCGAACTTCCTGTAGAGACATTTTCCGCAAAAATGAAATATTAACCGTAACAAGTATATACATTCTGCAACTATTGACACTTATACAAGAAAAAGAAGGCGAATCAAGAACAAGAATGGAAATTCACAGTCATATAATATCAGGAACAGAAATATGATCACAACTAATAAGCACCATCATTCAGAATATGAAAGTTTCCTCATGTTTGCAGGAGTTCGTCTCTACAACCTCTTACCAAATACCTCGAAATTTCAAGAAAAAATCGAAAATGTTCCTGGCTGATAACTGTTTTTATTCTGTAGATGAATTTAAGGTCGCTGTAGGTAGTATTTGGATAATTCTATATTTCAAATCAAATTATTAGTATGTCTTTCCATGTAAATACTTATATTTGTTTATTTTTTGAATTGTTGTTTTGTACCCTTATGTGTGACTTGACCTTTCTATACATGTTGTAGCACAAAGGATTAATAAAATCTATCTATCTATATATCTATCATCGATTGCTGACCTATGTCACATTGGGAATGTGACATCTCATCGACTTTGGTGCTACTGCCCATAACATGATGTAAGTACCAAGAACCATCTTCTTGTTTCTGTTGTTGGCTCGTTTCATGCTTGTTCTTTGCTGTTCCGTCATTCCGGCACATTTTTATGTTTTCGTGATTGAATAAATTGTATGTTTTACTTTTGAGAACAAATCCTCTTTACCTCGGCATGAATGTGGTTGGGTGATGAAATACCAAAAATCCTCTTGCGAAATAGCCAAGCCAGTACTCTTAGGTTGAAACATCGGAGTAAAAGCGATGTGTGAGTTGCGACACGTGGTGAGGGTCTATCTGAGTTGCGACAATATTACACACCGAGGTGGAAAGAGATTCAGTCCTGTCGTGAGATTAGTTAGTTAGTTAGTTAGTAGATCTTGAGACAGGAATGAAACTTTCTACCAAGGTTTGTTTTCTATTTCATTTACAACCATCATATTTCGATCAGAATTAATAAATCTCTGTTCCGTTCTGAAAATACCTAAAATATTACATAAGGGCGGGGAGTAGAGTTGTGTAATGTGACACTTCCCAACTTTCAATATAACATATATGGTTGTAAACAAAAACACTCACCCAACTAAGCTATTGTGCCAGCGAATGACAATACCGAGTGAAATACTATTTATTGTCATTTCTTGATATAATGATCATGATATAGGTTTCATTCCACTCTGAGAACGAAAAATTGAGTCTCAAAAAATTCCCCGAATTATTGAACGACCATCGCATGACCCACGAAGTTTATTCCCAGCGAGCACAAAAACATCTCAGAGATGTCAAGAGTACGAGATGTCGAGACATAGGACCTTCACTGCGATGTGCTGTTCTCAAAATGAACATAAGTCTCATTGAACAGCCAATGTCCGCTGCAGGCGGCGTTCATAAAGATATCCTTTAAATTTCACAAAACTACATTCTCCCTAGTTCACTTGATAGCCTATTCATGGACACAGCAAAACCTTTTGGAAACGTTTTGCGAATATTCAATCGCTGCAAAAAAACATTTCCGGTGGGTATATTATAGAAAAATAAAATTGGAATGAGCTTTCCGCCGCTGGTGAATCGAACCTACTCTCTTGTGATTCAATATTTACAATCCTCGCACCTTCTCCACCGCGCTATAGGAATCTCATTGATGAATGGTATTAATAGAAAGAATATCAACATGCAGTTCATTAGAGTAGGATAATAACTATTTATGTCGTTGCATCTGTTCTGAGAAAAATAGGAGGTGGTTGGTATTGTAATAATGATATAAACGCTCCAAACGCAAATGCGAACGATAACAACAGAATCGGAAACAGATCAGAAATCATCGTATTGCATGTGACGTGAGCATGAGATGTTGTCGTGAAGCAAACAAAGAAATAGAACATGCAGCAAAAAAAAATACTTCCAATATCATTCGGAAGACCTCTTTGGGAAGTGAATAATAACGTGTCAAAAAAACATCCTCATGCCAACATTGGGAATGCAGATCACGTCTCAAAAAACATCCTGATTTTTGACACATCTCAAAACGTCCCAGGCATACCTGCCAGTTGACACACAAAGAAATTTCACGAAAGAACAAAAACAATACTTCAATATCCATCAAAGTCCTCTTTGAGAAGTGCATAATACGTCTTAAAATTGAATCATCATGCAAACGTTTCCAAAACATCCCAGGAATGTTTGTGCTCTCTGGGTCGCTCCGGTCTGAAAATGTTGAGGCAATTGCCTGTAGTAGATCCGATAAATTTGAGTGTTCGTTATTCGTGGTGACCAGGTTTATAAATGAGCAAGTCGGTCAAATAGTACACAAAGATGGAAACATCAAATTCACGTTGTTCTTCGAACATAAAAGGGATTCCCCTTCGTTAGTTCCAAATTTTTATCATTGGACCGGACTATTTACACTTTATGGCGTATCTTTCTCACCTGTGAAAAGCGATATAGAGAGAGCTACCAATGAATTTTGGGTTGCGTGGCTTCAGGAGCCGCAGAGTTGAGTATGCACCAAAACATGGTTTATGTGAAAGCTAAGACCGCAGAACACAGCTCACCCACCGGCATCACATCTGAATATCAGGAGGGAAAACATTCTTATCATTATTTCATTGTTCCTCGTGATAAGCAAAGGAATGACTATTCGAAGCAAATCCTTATAAACGCAATCTGCAAATAAATAGTATATGGCATGTATCGCAATTAGCTGAAGCAGAATTCTTCGATAACATGAAATGAGAACAGTTTAATCTCACACATCAGGTCCACATAGTCTACTGAACATTTTTCATTTTGCTATGGCTCAATCCATCTGGACTAATATATCTCCTCTCCACATATTTCTGGAGAGAGCATTCTGGGGTGACAGCATTCTGGGATGACCTCCGGCATAATGCTTCCAACAGTTATCTTTAATCTTCTTCATACCGTACAAATTCCGAAATACTGGTTTTCCCAAAAGCAGACATTTTCCAGTGAGTTGGTGGTCATAAATAAGTGGTTCAAAATCAAAAATCCCCATTTAAATGATCAGTGATCAATCACGCAGTACATTATTCGGGCTAATATAAGCCCATCATCAGCCGATCACAAGATGTTAATTCGTTGTTGGTTTTTCCACAACTAATGTGTTGAGATTGGCTGATGAAAGGCGTTTTATAGAAACAAGAACAATAAGAAGAACAGTAGCGGCGTTAGGGTAGGGCGCGGTTGGGCGACCGCCCAGGGCGCCGGATGAAAAGGGGCGCCGCAGAAACCCCTATAAATTCCTCAAATTTTTCAAATCAACGTCATTAGCGCATCTCACAATCAACAGATATAGATCTCAGTAAATGCACAGAAATGTTGAAAGAATGCTGCACTTTCTCGTAAGAATATAGAAATACTAACTCTGAAATCGCTATTTTAACTGCAGAGGAATTGGCTGAAGAACTAGAAATTGAACCTAAGCTTGGACCTAATCTTAGTGCCACATGGATAATTCAATATGTTGAGCGTCAAGCTGGTGAATTTCCCCGCCACGTGCCAATAGCTTCTACAGAAAAATATCAGGTTTAATTTTTCATTCATTTCAGAATGATGAAAGTAAGAATTCTGCCATTATTTCGTATTGAAAATTTCAGAAAAATCACTCGACCGCCTACTATGATTTCTCTACTTCACAACGAGCGAGACGTTGATTCTACATTTTCCTGCTAGATGGTGATGATGCTATTGCTTCTGTGACGAGTGGAAATAAAATAGTAAATGGGATTATTCAACTCTGAATTCGAAAAATCTGCGACAATTTCAAAACTGACAGATGTCACAATTGTGCAATGTCGCCATCTATTAGAAGATCGACGGAACCGCAATGCTCTCGCTGTTCTCGAGAGGCCGAGTCAAATATTTGAAACAAAAGCGCATCAGTAAAATGAAATATTTGAAGTTGAATGAGTACTACAAATCTTGGTACTTTTGTACAATATAAAACAAATTTCGAAACAACTCGACCTTTGACAAGGTAAATGTGGTGTGTAATCAGAATTTGGTTACCCCTGCATATGTTTTGAATTTTATGAAAGATCGCAACTAAAAAGAACTTTATCAAGATGTATGATTAGATTAGCATTGCAAATATTATTGACTTTATATACCTGTAATGGTTGCTAGTTTTCAGTTTTCCTGAGCCTAATGTGATAAAAACCTATCTGCGATCGACAATATCTCAATCTAAATTGACAAACTTGACAACAAAGGCTAGAAAAGTGAAATATATTAGTTATTAGGGGGCGCCGTAGAATTCTTGCCCAGGGCGCTGGTAGTGCTAAAACCGGCACTGAAGAAGAATATCAAACCTATAACTGCTCTGCAATGAATTTAGTGATCAGGAAGACATCAAGAATCATCAGATCACAATCAATTGCACAAGGTTGGAGCATATTAGTGGAGTAGGAGATGCAAGGACATGGGAATTGAAGGATTTCATCGCTGTGGTTTATGAATGCATCAAGATCCTAATGGAGGCATTCAACTTTAGGAGGCTGCATGATGGTGGAAGATTCGGAAAATAGTGCTTCTTTCTTAACAAAATATTAGTCAGCTCACACTCGTGTGCGGGTGTGGGATCAGAAATACAAACAATATTCGCAAACTCTTGGAAACTTGAAATTATTTTGAATTAACAAAGGACTAGGAAATTCAGTTCAATAAACTCATTCGGTAAAGAATCGGTTTCAGTTGAGATTATTACATCTTCTGGTGATTTTTCAGAATGAATTTAGAAATGATCAAATTACTCGAACATAAAATCCAAGAATTGATGTGTTGATATCATAATAATATATAACACAGGAATGATAAGGTTTTTTGCAGAATAAGAAAATCATTGTTGTAATATCTATAAAAGAGATAAAGTTTCTTCCTGGATAACATCACGAAATATATCTAATTTTGGAGGAATATATTCTCCATAACATTTGGGATTGAATTGATGAACATATATTTGATGGAAATATATACAGCAATAATTCCAATTGATTCTTGATAATGATAAATCGATAACAATATTCTCCGATTAATGTTATGTGATATCAGCCAGAAAAGTAGTTGTTTCCTATTAGATATTTATTCATTGATTTTCAAATTTTTTGCAAAAAAATATTCGTCGACTCTCATCAATACTATGAGTTATTAATACCTATTATTAGTGTCGAGAGATTAATTTCATGAATCAACGATGTTGATAACGTAAACATCATTCCATTCAGAATGGAAATCAACAAAAATATACATTTCCGGAAAATTAATCAAAATATGAATGTGATGCCTCGACTTGATTGCATATAAATCATTCACATCGTAAATCACAGGTTTTATATCATAACTCATAACTCCAGGGATAGGTATGACGACGGATTAAAAAAAACACGTCAACGTCATAGTTCTATATAATGGTAGGTATACTGTTATTGTAATCGGAAGTCGTATTATCCAAGGTTGGTAGAACTGATGACTATTTTGTAGAGGAAGGTTGCCTCGATCGCACCCCGCGAGTAACCTTGAGTAACTCATGACGTAATAGGCCCTTTCTTTTGCACGAAAAGTGTAGCACTCTCGTACACTTCGTGTATGATATGTACGCCGGCGATTGGCCGGCGCATGTATTGAGTTGACAGTTGTCAGTATTTTCGAATATTTGAACTATTTTGAACTTCGGTCACTTCTTGTTGAAATTCGTACAAGTGTAATGAGACTAGTGAATTTAGTTTGTGTTTCCATTAATTTCCATAAGATGAGTATTCGTGAGAAATGGATTCAATTTTGTGGACGTAATTTCAATTCATTTAATACCAAAACTTGGCGAATATGTTCTGCCCATTTCGATGCCGAGGATTTTGAACGGCACAAGCAGAATTGCTAAATCACACACCAAAGAGAAGAAAACTCAAGGTAGGAATCCCATCAATAATACCCAATACAACAAGAGAAACACCATAAGTATTCAAGTTTGGAAAAATGATCAGAACCAGACCAGTTGTGAATGTTGAGATTCTTGCTGAACGGGTAAAATGGACATCAGAAGATATCACACGTGTTTTCAAGTTGAGATATTTGAGCAAGAGTACGTTACCCAACGAAGAGGAGCTATGTTTATTTGAGAGATTCCTTGAACTATCCTTTATTTTTTATTTATAGGTTCACTTATAATAGTAGTGTCATTTTTCATTAATTTTGTTCAGAATCATATTTTGTAATTTTTTTATGCTCAAATACTTCGATCAATTGCTCTGTTTTTGACTACAATTTAATCAAACAATGAAATACTATTTCCTCTTGTATTCTCTATAGGTATCTAGGAAAGTTTGGTAATTTTTCAGAATACAGAGTTATATTGATAAAATAAGTGATCTGTTGTGTACGCATATTGGTCCACTGCTACTTCTTCTGGATCATCAGTTATATTTTCTGTAGTTTCTTGTTCACATTATCTGATTTGCAGGATATTTATAGGATGAGTAGGTTCATAATCAATGCATAAGTAATCACTAGCTCCATAATTATGCTCCATACCTCAAAACACACATACCTGGTATCACGACCTGGTAAATAGCCCCTGGAACAAAATTTCAGATAGGTATTCCTCTCTGTACTACTGATCCATCCAAAATTGCCTTCTCATTTCGAAGATCAAAGGTATTATACAGAAGTATATGTAAATATCCATATTTTATAATGGTACTTACTTATAATAATTATATACTATAAATTAATATAAATATGCTGAGCAGACCAAAAACTTTGTATCATGTTTGTATACTCTATTTGGTAAACATTTCATGACATGCCGCTTAAAGGTTGACAACTTGTCGTCTTACTGCCTGTGACGTCACGAGTGACCGTTTCCCCCCTTGCCGCACTATCGATCGAGGCAACCTTCCTATACAAATTATAATCAGTTCTACCAACCTTGGTATTATTATTTTTATTAATACGCTATTCATCCATGGATGTTCTTGTCAAAGATATATACTTTCATATAGATAACAATCCGTTCACTATCTCTGACGATTGAACGTTATTTGATTCTGATTTACTAATTCACTAATTCACATATTCATCAATCATTGTTGGAAGTACAGGGTGATCTATGATGTAAATAGTTTTCTTACCGTCAAAAAATCTCTGGGTGTGGCACCCAAAACTTGAAGAATTTTATCGTATCCAGAGTCTTGGCAGAACTCAAAAAACGTCTTTCCGAATAGTTCCAGTATAGTATTCGCTGGTATTTCTACAAAGTGATGGATTATGTGAGTATTCAGGTAACTCATTCCATCCTGATATACCGGGTGACCAGATATATTCTGACCCATTTCAACTGCTCATATCCGAAACTATTCAAATTATCGTTGTGCGGTTTGGACTTCTCTATTTTGTTATCCTCCAAGTTTTTTGACTGGTTCACCTTCCCACCTGAACTTCCGGTTCCTCTAATAGTTTACTAGGAGAACATAACTTGTAATACATTGTTAGATAGAGAAAAGACCAGTCTTTCTGAATGTGCAAAAATGTACAGGGTGATTTAATGAAAGGAAAAAGTTTTCCTATACCTGACTTATTGCTTGTTTGTTTCCGGTAGAACCGGGAGTTCGAGTAAGAAGTTGAACACGTCAAAAAAAATTGAAAAACATCAAAATAGACTAGTCCAAACCGCACAACGATAACTTGAATGGTTTCAGAGATATGAGCATTTGAAATGGGTCAGAATATAACTGGTCACCCGGTATCTTAGTTGATATTGAAATGAGACTATAGGTTACCTTTAAATCGATGGTGTAGCTTATGAATCAATGTGAGGCAAGTTTCGGAGAACCTGTGGTCTAATTTCAATACAAATCCAGATACAAGGCTGTTCAACTCCGAAAAATATATCTGGTAATCATGATTGATATGTCAAGCAAGAATGCAATCATATTTCTTACTTAGAATATCTACTGCAGCTCCAATTAGATTGTAGGTCAGCTCGTCTTCGTATATTTGACGGACAAGAAATTGTCCCTCCATTTGAACTTGTGCATTCTTCCTGAAATAAATTTTCATAATCTAAAAATTGATTGCAGATCAGAATCTCACACTCATTTGTTCATATACAGGGTGTTTCATGAGAAGACTCACATAGCCATATGAAAACATTTGTTGACCCTCCATAACGAAGATACACAGGGTATTATTTCAAATTGTTATATAACTTTGATGGCCGATATTACAGAAATGGTTCATCGTAATCTGCTGAAATTTAGCAGCAACGTATTTCTACTGAAACTATTCAAGATGAAATGTTATTAAAAAAATATCCAGGCCCGGACTTGGGAAAATTCCATGTTTCATTGATATGTCAAAAAAGTTCACTTTTTGACCAGTTTTCTCGAAAAATTCCATCAGATTCAGAAAGACCAGACAAAATGCCTCAAGAACTGCTCTTCAATTCACTCGGCACACTTTGACCGGTTCAATATGAAAATATGGATCGAAAACGTTCGAATGCATTTTAAATTTCGACTTGGCTGCTAACTGTCAACTTTCAACTGGTATCATGTGAATTGATTTTTTCTACATTTTTGTTGAATATTAATGATTGACCGAAAGATAGACGAGAAGAAAAAACACGATATTTTTTTATTGAAATTCCAGATAGATATTATTCCTGACTTAGTTTTATGGGTGTCGCTTGAAGTAATGATAATATATCTAGTAGGCCCTGTTTTTCATTTGTGTGACGAGACATGACGTTATGACATACGTAGGTACTAGGCTAGTACTCGGTAGGTACCAACTGATTATGGTGATATATCAAATTAGTTATGCCATCACGCATAAACTTATCTCTATTTATTGTAATAGATACACTTCTGCAATCGATATAAGGATGCATTTGCCATTTATTCAAAATTTCTAATGTTCATCCTCGTGAAGGTTTGACTGCAACGTATTCTTGTGTCTGGAAATATTCTATGGTATTAAATATAGCAAAGCATTTGAATTTTCGTCTTGTTCAGCATTTGGAATATGAAGTGGCACCTAGATTGCAAGAATATTCCGATAACCAGTGTTCACCTATCAACAAACACCACGTTACATAAAATAAAAACATGGCCAACATTATAACAAATCCATAAAATATAGTCACGAGTAATCATATCTATCTAGATTTCTATCCAATCAAAGAGTACAAAAAAATCAATTTACACGAATCCAGTTGAAAGATGAGAGTTATCAGCCAGGTCGAAATTGAAAATTCATTCGAACGATTTTGTTCCATATTCTTTCATTGAACCGGTCAAAGTTTGCCGTGTAAATTGAAGAGCAGTTCTTATAGCATTTTGCCTGATCTTTCTGAATCTGATGGATTTTTTCGAGAAAAGTGGTCACAAAGTGAACTTTTTTGACATAACAATGAAACATGAAATTTTCTAAAGTCCGGACCTGGATTTTTTTTTTCGTAATATGTTATCTTGAATATTTTCAGCAGATTACGATGAATCATTTCTGTAATATCGGCCATCAAAGTTATATAACAATTTCACATAATATCTTCGTTATGGAGGGTCAAAAAATGTTTTCATATATACAGGCTGATTCACGGTGGATGGCACATTAGACGTTTCTGGTGAACTAGACAACGGATCATTTTGAAAATTTGATGGATGGCATATTCGGACATTCTCTAGCCAACTAAAATATTTTCGACAATGCGGTGTTGCCGCTTCTATTAGAAAGCAGTAGCAACTTTGATTTTTCAAATGGAACACTCTGTATTTTATTGCATTTTTAGATTCTTCCTGAAGAGCGAATTTCATCGATGTATCATACTTGGGGTCTAGCGGTAATGATTACAGAGATATAGGGTGTGAAAAATCGACATTTTTCAACTTTAGGAATTTTTTTTGTCGAAACTATTCATTATTGGTCAAAACGGCTCACATGTCCCTATCTCTACTTTTGATTCATTATCTACTAACATTTAATTGAAACAAATACAGGGTGGTGCAGAATTCAGAATCTTGATCACCCGGTATATGTCCCAATTAAATATCAGTAGATAGTTAATCAAAAGTTGAGATAGGGACATGTAAGCCATTTTGACCAATGATGAATAGATTCGACACAAAAAAATCCTAAAGTTGAATAATGTCGATTTTTCACACCCTATATCTCTGTAATCATTTCCGCTAGACTCCAAGTGTGATACATCGATGAAATCAGCTCTTCAGGGAGAATATAAAAATGCAATAAAATACAGAGTGTTCCATTTGAAAAATCAAAGTTGCTACTGCTTTCCAATAGAAGCGGCAACACCGCATTGTCGAAAATATTTTAGTTGGCTAGACAATGTCCGAATATGCCCTCCATTGAATTTTCAAAATGATCCGTTGTCTGGTTCACCAGAAACGTCTAATGTGCCATCCACCGTGAATCAGCCTGTATACATCAACTCGTCTTGATTTCCCCTATTAACCATTTGGCTATGTGAGTCTTCTCATGAAACACCCTGTATATCAATAACAGTTGCGTAATCTTTCATCTGTACTAGATGCATAAAGCATCGAGTTCTGTGGCAATGAGGGCTAACATGTTTACTCTCACCAGTTGGCGCTACTGAAACGTGAGGTCAGTGTCTAAGTCAAAAATCCCTAATTTTGGCGGATAGCCCTAAATGCTATGGCCTGTTTAATCCAAAATTTTCGAGAAATATTAGGTAGGATATTTGAACAAATAGAAAACCTCAAGATATCGAAAGACGTGAGCCGATTTTTGACTATCAATGTAGAACTTTACGACCAATTCTTACTTTGACGGAGAAGAAGATATAGCGAGACTTGAAACGAGCTTTTGAAACTATTGATAGGAATAGATTACTTAGTAAGTTAAAATTTATGGGATTCGGAGGGATGGTATTGAACTGGATTAGGGATTATTTGTGGGATAGGAGACAAAAGGTTAAATATGAAGGATATGTATCAGATGAGCAAAAGGTTGATATAGGTATTCCTCAAGGCAGTATTTTAGGACCACTCCTATTTATTTTATATCTCAATGATATATCTTTAATTTTCGAAAATGCTAAATTTCATTTATTTGCAGACGATACTATATTAAACCTATCAGACAATTCGATTATAAATCTTGTAGATAATATCAATGGGATATATGGAAATTGATAAATTGAAATTGAATGTATCTGAAACAAAGGCAATGATTATAGGAAAAAGGGCATATAGAGAGTTGTATTATAGTTATCAGTTGCGAATTGAATTAAATGATGAAGTTATTGAGTTGGTTAATGAAATTAAGTACTTGGGTATCATGAGTGACAGGGATCTAAAATTTAATGTCTTTGTTAATTACATTTGCAAAAAAATTGGTAAAAAAATAGGTGTCCTTAGAAGGGCCAGTGGATGTTTAACACCAATAACACGTAAATTAGTGTATAATACTATAATACTACCACACTTTAATTACTGCAGTACTATTTTATATATTACATGCCAAGGGGATATAAATAGGTTGCAAAAATTACAAAATAGAGCAATGAGATTAATAATAGGTTGCGATAGGTATACAAGCACTGAGTTTATGCTAGCTAACTTAAATTGGATGAGTGTTAAAGATTTTTTAGAGTTTAATGCATTGGTTTTTATTCATAGAATCAGGTCAGGCCTAACAACAAAATATTTACAAAATATGTTGCGAACATTTGAAGAGTTGCATGGATATAATACAAGGGGAAGACAGAATTTTGTACTGCAAAGAGTGAGATCAGCTGCAGGCCAGAACTCTATATTTTCTAAAGGTATAAGTAAATATAATAGACTGGATCAAAATATTAAAGACGCAGAAAGCATAATTTCCTTCAAACGTTTATTGAAAATAACATATATATAATATTGTTACTGCCACGATTACATGGATATTAGGTTAAGATAATGGAGGAACTGTCTCACATAAATTTGTGTAAAGTGCAATGTACAAATTAGCTATTCAGCTAAATAAATGGTATTTATTTATTATTCATTATAGAGTCAAATAACACGATAATTAGAAGTGAAACACTGAAAAAAAAACACCGGTTCACTCCAGCTTACACCCTTTGGTGTTCCCTGAGTTCCTGATCATTTCAGTGAGAATTAGCACTGATATTTTCAACACCATCGTAGGGTGTAATTGTAATACAGTAAAGAAAAAAGAATTGTTCTACAATTGTTCTTATCCATCATTCGGTTGCCCCCTTACGAGCAACCCTCAGAAGTCTGCAAGAGACTTGTGCGATCAAGGAATGACGTGGGCCTTACCTTTGATCCCAAACACTTTCTTAAGCCATCAGAAAAATTTCTGCGGTCGTGGTGGGAATCGAACCCACTACCGGTAATCCAACATGGATGGAACATTGACACTATAACCACGAGGCTACGTTGGCAATCAATATATTGCTAATTTGATAGGTTCGTGTTATTCAACACCAAAGTGGTGTACTTTACAATCATCTGGTGATTATTTTGACACTGTATCTGTTGCGTTTTTGCTTTAACTGATACTATCATGATATGCGAATATTTTTTGGATACTTTTTTGTTGTGAAAACACACTTATTGAGTGTTATCACGCTGAGAAGCGGTGCTTTCTTGTCTGCATCTGAGTGTTGAATAACACGACTCTGATATACCAACATTCAGTATGCATGAAATGATCCATCGTAGTGAGAGTTGGGACAGTACAAAACATCCCTGAGCTGATACTATTTGAAGGTTGTCAAGAGACCAGCGTCGATGTGGCGTTAGTGTCACCATCTATCAAGATATTAACTCAATATTTTTCTGTGCACAGAATTCATACTTCGATATTCAATTTTATGTTTCAATATGATGCGATATACTATAAGTACTCTGAACAGCTTTGCATGGTGAATGCAGCTTCATACGAAAGAAACAATATTTCTACGAGAATTTCTTTATTCGTGGAATATCTCAATGAATTTCGATAAATAATTGTGCATTCAAGCGTGTTATCTTATACAAATCGCATTTTGTGAAAGCACCCTCCTCTTTCGGACTCTTGAGAACTACTTGAGTGGACTAATTTCCTCATATACAAAATGTCTCTTGGGGGCAATGCAATTATGAAAGAGCAATAGCGGTAATTATACTGCAAAGCAGAGATTGCACTGCAAAAGCATCTCGTCGCCATAACAACACATTTGACACCGTGTCGTTATAGACGCTAGTGAACAATACGAATAAATGTCAGATAGACTTCAAGAAGCGAAAAAAACAATATTTCTCCGTGATTTTTTTCATTTGTGGAATATTTCATTGAATAACAATCCTGCATAAAAATGACCAGATAATTTCGCATTCAAGCGTGTCATCTTATAAATTGCATTTTGTTAGAGCTCTCCTCTTTCGGGCTCATTCGCCAATATATGAAAATAAGGACCCCGCACTTTCTTTATGGAAAATGGCTTTTGGTTAAATTCCCTGAATTTTTGGTATGATGTAGATTTTTACTTCCTAAGCAAAAGTGTTTATGGGCACAAAGAAATCGTGTGACTAGTTTTCGAGATACAGGGTGTCAAAGATGAAAAGTGAAGCTTTCTGCTAAGGATTTTCAAAGACTCCGAGAATTGACAAAACGCCCATTTATTCATGGATTATCATTGCTGAATGATGGTACAATGTCATCTGGATCTCGTATCCATTACAATTTTTTTTGTTTTGGGCTCTACAACAGGGTGAACAAAGAAGAATCCAATTCAATTAATATTCAACCAACCAGGGTAAATCCTTTCATAAGAATTTGAGATCCAATTGAAGTCTGGACGAACTTTCCCAATCTTGATCAAAGTTTTCTGAATTTTTTTCAATATACAGGATGGTTCGAAAATAGGGGTACGTCAATCCCTAGTTTTTTTAATCGGAAAGGGGAGAGCATGTCATATATATATCAGACACTCTTCAATGTTAAGAACGACGCATACTCAGTTCATATATATATATAGGGTGAGTAAAAAGATACAGTCCAACTTTCTTGAACAATTGCGGTTTTTTTCGATGAATACCCTGTATTTCGATAATATCGGTCAATTTTCTTGAATTTTTGATATAATATACGATTTGAGGAGTCAGAGATATTGTCATCAATATAAGCATAGGTCTCCGGACTCGTTTGTCGGCTATATACTTTTGAATGTACGGATTTTATTGATACCCGAAATACTCCATTGGAGTCCAAAATGGGCTATTTTCCAACAATTCATGTTGAGAAATATTCCGACTAGATTAGTGCGATACCTATTCCAAAAATTCAATACCTTATACACAGGGTGAATGAAATATTTTTCATTTGAAAGCCCTGTTTCCGAAGAAACTAGAGAAAATTGAAATGTATCAGAAGCAATAACCCTCTTAAGGTTGAAACTAATTCTACAGTATTGGAAGGCTATTTCAAGGAATGACCATAAAACGTACATATTTCTTTTCGCGGACTTCTGAATTTCCGTCACCATTCATTTGTTCATTGACTACTAAATATCCAAATTTTGTAGAAAACGCACATTCCACAGATATCATATGAAATATTTCTTTATCTGTATATATATATACCCTCTATATATATATATATGAACTTAGTATCCGTCGTTCTCAACATTGAAGAGTGTCTGATATATAAATATATCACATGCTCTCCCCTTTCCGACTAGGGATTGACGTACCCCTATTTTCGAACCACCCTGTATACAGAATTGGATTTTTCTTTGTTCACCCTGTTTTAAAGCCCAAAACGTGGAATTATAATGGATACGAGATCCAGATGACATTGTACCATCATTCAGGCATGTTATTCCATGAATAAATGGGCGTTTTGGCAATTATCGGAGTCGTTAAAAATTCTGAGCAGAATGCTGTAAAGATTCAGGGTATTCAACCGAAAGCCATTTTCCATAAGAAAAGTACGGGGTCTTTTGCAATTTTTAGATAACAAGCTCCCTTGCAAAATTATCGGTAATTTTCATGCACTTGTGCAATTGTAACCGATAATTAATTTGTCCAAATGTCCAATATGTTATATGTGAGATGATTCATCCTAGAAACAGTGGATATTTGAAAGATATCAAGAATTCTTTCCTTTTCCTATATTCATGTTTCACCTATACAATTCCATTGAAGAGTTCTCTGGAGTTCAGTGATTTTCCGAGATACTCATCGAAATATCAGAAACACAGCGGATTATCTTGATTTACACACATACATCTCCAAAAATAATGGAAATTGATCATTGATAGTCATAGGACATTTCAGTTGTTTGAATGTGGGTTGATATATTGTTCTCAAAAATAGAAAAATCCTGAAATGGAATTTCCCGATTGGAGGAATTTTTGATTTTTGATCCAGATAAAAATGTATTTTATACTTACTTGATAATTTCCCACGTATCTTCTCCAAATGTTTTGATGACGAGTAGTTCAAGAGCATAGTTGACAAACCCATACTGAAAATTAATGAAAAATACATGAGATGATGGTCCATGTCAAAAAAAGTATCAAAATACATCAAAATGTTCGCTGGGGTGACTATCACACCCATGTTCTTTCTTATTATAATGCTAATGAAGAGAAAATCTCTTTAGAGCGCGGTATAATTTTCTCATAAATGCGAAAATCCCTGCTTACTTTGATGAATACAATCACGTTGCTCTCGCGGTGTAAGGAAATCTGGGTTCTTAATTCATTTACTGAAGGAAACGCAGAAAATTAGGATTCGAAAATTAGATCAAGTACGGGAAGTTTGAAATATACACCAGAGAGGAATCTGAGACGCCAACCAATTACCTACAACAAATGTTGGATTTCTTATACAGTTTCTTAAGTACGTGTAGAAAATTCAGGAGCATGTTGCTGACGTCAAAATAAGAAGAAAAGTTCGTATAAATATATGTCCGAAAGTTCTTCGTTTCTGAGATACAGAGTGTCACTTCGTTTCAGAGATACAGAGTGTCAAAGTTGAATTCATATTCTTGTTTTTTCGTTCTTTGAATTTCGAAATAATTGTGATATTCGAATAGAGTTTGGTATCTAGAGGTATTTTTCAATGACACCATCAAATTCCATTGTAGTTTGTCTCTTTCGTGGGGGTGGCGCCACCTGAATGTATCAATGTTTTATGGTAGGAAAACAGATTTCAAAAACACTTCTGTGTAAAAAATATATTCTTGGGAGAAGTCGCTGCGAGCAACTATTTTCAAGTAATTGGAATTTTAAATGATCGATGCGTTTGAATTATTTCCATGGGGATCGTTAGTCGCCTCTATATTGTAGTAAATATTATAAAAAAAATACGCTAGTGCATTTTTCTTCATCCATTTAATATTCTCCTGCATTCAACATTGGAATATCAGCAAAAAATGATTCTTATCCCTCTCTACCAACTTTTTTGGACTATTCCTATTGATGAAAATAACAATAAAATGAAAGATTCCCTAATCATCGACTGCCGAATCACCAGACATTCAGGAACCTTTTTCAGCGTATTATGGAGTCTGGATCCTTTGAAAAAGCTCTAGTGATAGGCAGACCGTTGACTACTGAGACTCTAGAAATTAAAGAAGCTGTTCTTCAGGCAATCGAAAAAGATTCACAGACAAGCACGAGGAAAATTGCGCAAAATCTTACGGAAATAATTCAAATGCAACGATCAATTCAAATCCCAATAACTTAAAAACAGTTGGTCGCAGCGACCTCTATCAAGAATATATGTTTCACACAAATGTGTTCGCCAAATCCATTCTTCTACTATCAAACGTGATACAGGTACGCACAAAGGAGTCATGACTTTTCAAAAAACTCGAAAGACATGTAGGTGGCGCCACCCCCACGAAAGAGACAAACTAACATGAACTTTGATATTGTCCTTGAAAAATAGCCTCGCATTCGTATTCGGAAATTACAATCATTTTGGAATTTATCAAAAAAATACAAAGATAAAAGTTCAACTTTGACGCTCTGTATGTCAGAAACGAATAACTTTCGGACATATATTGATGAAAACTTTTCTTCCTATTGTGACGTCAGCAACATGTTCCTGAATTTTCTACACGTACTCAAGAAACACCCTGTATAACCATGCATTGTAAAAAATTGGCCATACCTAGGTGAATGCTTCGTTAGGATCATATCTCATGATATATAGAACAATTTTACAAAAAAAATATACAGGGTGATTCATCAAGAATGGGGAATTTCTGAACTCTACAAATGGTGAACACTGGAATATCAAGATTCACCATAACATGTCTGATAAGAATTTTGCTGGTTTAGGAGATACAGTGTGTTTTAAGCAGAGATTTTATTTTGATATCCCTCGATAAATTTGTGAGTTTCAACAGCATCCATCGAATGATGATCAAAATATGTGAAAAATCTGAAGGCTCGTTCAATTTTACCTATAATTTGTACTCTTTATCAGAATGTCCAGCTCTAACGGTTTCTGCACTATTCGCTCTTGGAGAGATTTTTGTTTCACTTATAACATTTTGGTAATTTCAAATTATAAAGTTATCGAACTGACAGTGAAAGAACAGACAGTGATCAATGAGAACAATCACGAACAACGCCCACAACAAACATAATTTCAAAGTAAATGTTCGACCAAAGTTGAAAAATAATTAAAATGAGATATTTCTATGAACACCTTGTATCTGCAACATTCCTATTAGGCATGTTGGATTCAATTTTGATACCTTAGTGTTTTTTATCTGTAGTTTAGAGATTTAACATTCTCAGTGAATCACACTGTATATAGCACAGTGTGGCCGTTTCAGAATACTGTTCCCACATTTGCATGCATAATGGGATACAGAACTCAAACATGCGTGAATTTTCTTGGATTCCATCCTGCTGGATGATGCCACACTCACTAATTCTCTTACATCAATGGAATACCAGAAAAGTGGAGACCTCTCATATTCCTATCGATACACACTTCTACGAGAGATGTTCTTCATAAATCTCTGTCTGTTATCATGTCATGACTAGCAACACCAGTCAGACAAAGTCAACAAACCCATTCAACACTTCTTATCGTCGTCAATCTGAAAATATATCGAGCCACTCTTTGCCAAAACTTGTTTGTCTATACTCTGAAGGCAAAGCTTCGGGATTTTTTGCCAAAGGAAGTATTCCTCAGGAATAATATCAATAAATTGTAGAAATCATCAATACCTACCTCCTCTCCTTATCCTCTCTAGGAACCTCTATGACGTTCTCCGAACATAATAGGAATTCCCGTTGGTGCATTTCAAGAGAAAAAAACGAGAAGAGCCTTCATTGAGAATGTTTTATCTGAAGCACAAGATATTAAATGATAAATATATTCACACGTCACGAAAACTCATTCTATTCGATAATGAGGATTCCAAACCCATCTATATGAGTGGATTCAAAATATAAATAGCTATTCATACTCCTTACAACAGTAGGGTAAGGAATCACTTGTTACGGATGTAACTCCAATAATTCTGATCCCAAAAAAGTGTCTGAAATGATGTGCTTCATAAAAGTTTCCACTTGGGAGTAGTTGATTCTCTAAATGCTTGGGGAAGTTATTAATATAATTATTACAGCAATACCAGTCAGAAGAACTTGATGAGCATTGTATTTGTCGTCAATCTCGAGATATGTCAAAAAACTGTCTATCAAAAAAGGTGTGCCTATAAAACGGCGAGGAATTGCGATTTTTTGTCTAAGAAAGTTTGCATAACTTATGCACTTTCTATCCTTGCTATGTATACTCATGAACAAATTGAAATTCTCTTCCGTTCCCTACAAAAGATGAAACAAAGATGTATCCCGATGGAGGAATTTTAAATTTGTTCCTCCACACCAAGTGAGGTTTATGCATGGCAGCACGAAAGCTTCTGGATGAATTATGAATCATCAAATTCTGCGTCAATATTGAATATCCAGATATTGAGGATATCTTAGGAATCTATCGGTATGGAAAGCTTTCACTCCCTACCACCTACGTATACGTCTGATGACGATGCTTGAATTTTTAGATTGGGATCTAATTTCAATATTTCAGTGTCAGCGGTTCAAAAAGTACCTACTGATGAAAACATGATTGTGATCAGGGTACCAATGCATCGATGTAGAAAATTGCAACTCTCTGCAAAACTACTATACCTATGGATATGAAATGAGTCTTCTCTACGTGAAAAAAACAGAATTCTGCATTTGAATGGAGCAATAATATACACTTGTCTCAAATCAATTGGCTTGCTTTCTTCATCTCTTGAAATTTGTTGATATGAATTTACTCAACATAAAAAGTATTTTCCTACGACCACCTATGAAAACAGCCCAAAACACATTGATTTGTCATTGAGAAAATGACTCGTTTCACTATGACAACATATAACAGTTAGAAAGTTCGAAAGTAAAACTCACATGGGTGGAAATATTCGAAAATCGCACAGTGACAGGGTCTATAGATTATGATGTACCAATGAATGATTATTATGCTGAATTATGGTAAGTTAACTTATGGTCAAGTTAATGGAAAGTTAATGTCGATTATACATGAGTTATTGTCGTTAATGTTGACGTAATGTTAAGTTGATGAAAAGTTGAAATCAAGTTCATTTCAATTGAAAGTTGAATTAATTTCAATGTATTGGCAATTTATAGTGATTAATGTGAAATCAATGTCAATTTGATATTGAGATGATGTTAATTTGATTTCAAGGTAATGTCAAGTTAATTTTGAGTTAATGTTGATTTAATGTTGAGTTAATGTTTGATAATTATTGAGTTAATTTTAAGTCGATGTTAGGTTGATTTTAAGTTAATATTGAGTTGATGTTGAGTTAATTTCAAGTTGATGTTAAGAAACTGTTGAACTAATTATGTAATTTGAATATTGAAGTAAAATTAAAAAATAATGATAATGATATCACCTTCATGTGATCGAATATGATTGGAAACATGATCCCTTCTCTGGTCTTATGAACTGTCATGACATATAATATAAATATTTGTGGTCGTAGGAAAAATAGTGTACAAAACTCGTTGGAAAGTGCATTTCCTGCGCTCGTTTTGTTTCCGAACTCGCGCGAAATATGTCACTTTCCACACTAGCTATGTAATATACTGATTCCTTCATTCAAGAAACCTCGACTACCAGTGACATAAACTTCAATTCATATTCATATCGAACAGTTTCCTGGAAATCTTTATTCATTATTGCAGGTGAATTCCCTCACAAATTAGTAATTCCCCTTTCGGTTCGTATAGATGCAAATGGCACCACTTGAAATCAGTAAACAATGTATGCACTTCCATAGATACTCTTGGGAGCAGGAGAATTTGAATTGCAGATTTTGCGGAGCTATTATCAGCTAAAGAGGAGAGTGACAAACTTCACGTAACCCTGACAGTATCGCTCTATTTTGGGATAATTCAGTTAGGTTGTGTACGTAGTGGTTCATTTGTT